TGAACTCAACTCAAAAGAGAGATTATAAGTCAGAATAACAATTTAATAAAATAATACAGTAAGTACGATTATACAGACAAACAATTGGTTTTAACCCACAAAACCCAAATATATAACCCAGTACCCTGGGGTATGAACAGAGTGGTGTTCTTTGGCCCCCTTGAGTCCAAAGTAAAAGGAGAGGGGAAAACCTGTTGGTGAGAGTGCTGTTGCAGTCTGGTCAAGAGTGGTGACTGCAGTCCAGTCTAGAGTGGTGGTTACAGTCTGGTTGAAAAGTAGTGGTTGCAGTCCAGTTGAGAGTGGTGGTCCGCAGTTTGGTTGAGAGCGGTGGTCTGCAGTTGAGAGCGGTGATCTGCAGTCTTCCTCTGGATCCCACGAGTGGTTAAAAAAGTTCCAAGACTCCAAGATTATATATTCTCCAGTTCAGGCAGGAATGCTCAGTACTTCTCTCAGGGCGGGGGGATTCCTCAATGGGCATGAGGACAAAAACACCCTTCTATCTTGCAGGCCTCTTAGCACCTAGTTTGTAGCCTGATGAGTCAGGCTGCTCTGGGCAGAGGATGTGAATAGTCTATTGATAACAGTTTCTGGGAAATGACATGGAAGGCTAGAGAATACACAGTTTTGGGTTACACCCATCCAGTGATGAACTGGGCTCAGCTGTTCTAAATAGGACAACATCATATTCTCTTTTCTTTATACTGTTCCTTTTTATTTTGTTAGATTAAATGGCAATTATCTTCTTTCCTGCATTGAAGTTCTTCAGAACAGGAGGGAAATTACTAGGTACTAATCACTACGATCCTTAGTCATTAACTACTGGATAGAAATGGACATTTTTCCACTTGGTCTAGACCTTTATCTCAAACTACAGGTTTGCAATCCACTAGACAAAAAAGCAAACTCCTCGAGACAAAGAATGGACACAAGGAGTGGAGACCCCTCTGAATTCTTCCAACAAATATCTCAAATACTCATAAATGAGGCAATTGGAGCCACAACAGGCAAGATAACAGTCAGGTGTTCCATGAGATATGCCATGAGATACACGGTGAAGGGATTTCCATGACATAAGTAGCTAAGAGATTTCCATGAGAAGTGTGAATGGTGTGCTGAGGGGAGGACTATGACCCTTATCACTGCAGTAAGTCAAGTGGAATAGGGAGTGATGGTAAGGTGTTATGGTTCTGTTCTGCCCCTTCACTAGACCCACAGTCTTTGTAATCCTTCTGTTACTCTAGAGATCCCTCATTTATATATAAATTGGCGCCCCCACCTCTATTTATGACGGCAGTACAGTCTCACCATCCATTTCTTCCAAAAGTCTAAACTGGCATTTGAAATCCTACATGGCTGAGAATACAACTACCTTAAAGACAAATCAATGGACTTGCTACTCTCTCCTCCCCCAAGCAGGGACACCTGTGGTAAGATGTGCGCCTCCTACTCTGTCAGAGTATACCCAAGAGCTTCAGGATGAGCGCTCCTTACACACCCAAGAGCCATGTTGACTGGTCCAATACTGGCTCTGTGACCAGTGATTTCTCTTCCTCCCTCCCTCTTTTTCTTTTCTATCTCTTTGTCTTCCACCATTCTCTTTCTCATATGATATTGCAAGGTTTACCAACATAGTCTTTTGCTACCCATGTGCCTTTATCATTCAATTAACAAATGTGAATTTTCTTTCAAATAAAAGTGTTACTTGTTAAAGGACCTCTAGTGTTGTTTCACTGGACCACTAGCCAAGGGTATTTTCAAATCTGAGTCACTTTCCTCCTCTTTCTGTGTTGAAAAGTAATAAGAGATACCAAGTCTTGACCTGATCAGTGGGCAGGGAGATCTGGGAAGTGACTTCTCAGCTTTAAGGCAGGAGAGGTTTGAGCAGTGCCAAGACAATGGCTACCTGGGAACTGTCAGCTCTCGACTGCTACCCCATTTGAAGTTGTTATCTCCTCCTTCCCTTGGTGAGAGGATCATGACAAGGTTGTTTATTCTGAGAACTAAGAAAAATACATTGTACTGAATGGGGGTGAAAGAAAAAGAGAGGCTTAGAGACATACCATCATGCAGAACAGGAACTCTCTTGATGCCAGTGTGTCTTCCCCCTCTTCTGAAAGCAGAAAGGTTCATTTCTTGCTTACCAGTTTTTATGACATACACATGAGAAAAGTTCAGTTTCACAAGTGCTTTACATTAAAAGTCTCTAAAAGCCACCATTACTACCAAAGAAACAGAAATCCTAACCTGGGAGAGAAAATCTTTAATAGAAGGCATAGAAATAGAAAAGCTAACTAAAGGACAAGGGCTAATATACTAGAGATTCACAGCCCTGTGAAGAGCCTTGTGAATAAGCCTGCGAATGGAGGTCACTGAATCATGAATTGTTGTCTGCTATTTCTATAAGGATTCTAGAAGTGTGTGATTTTCTCTCGTTTCCCATTGTTGGTTGAGTCCAGACTTCATTAAGTGGAGGAGAGTGAGCAGCAGTCACTTGTGGGACTTTCTCACAGCATCAGGTCATCAACAGCAGGTGCAGGACACTTGCATGAGGAGTCACACCTTTGAGGTCCCATGTAGGGGGACTGACAGCATGGCACTTTCATGACCCTTTGCCTCAGTAGCCATGATGGCAGTTGCTGTCCTCTGCCCGTCCTGACTCCTGTCATCAAGTTCAGGATGAGAAGATTTGATGTTCACATCTTGCAACATAAACCTGGATGTCCTACCTTTAGATGGAGCTACCTACCCAGGCACATGGCTGCATACCATGAGGGAGTGAAACAAGGTTGCTTCATCACTTCCTAGAGAAGTACATAACTTCTTCCGCTCACTATCTTATGGATTGAATCAATAGGCATCCTGGCCTGTATGAGAAATAATGTGGCCAGCAGGATCAGGGAAGGGATCTCCCCCTGTACTTGGCACTGGTGAGGCCACCCCATGAGTACTGTGTCCAGTTCTGGGCCCCTCACTTCAGGAAGGACATGGAAGTGCTGGAACAAGGGCAGAGAAAGGCAACAAAGCTGCTGAGGGGACTGGAGCATAAGTCATATGAGGAGCAACTGAGGAAGCTGGTCTTGTTTAGCCTGGAGAGGAGGAGGCTCAGGGGTGACCTTATCACTCTACAACTACCTGAAACGAGGTTGTAGCCAGGTGGGGGGTGGCTTCTTCTGGCAGGCAACTAGGAACAGGATGAGAGAACACAGTCTCAAGCTGTGCCAGGGGAGGTTCAGGTTGAACATTAGGAAAAATTTCTTCACAAAAGGGATGATTAGACACTGGAATGGACTGCTCCAGGACAGTCACTGTCCTGGAGGTGTTTAAGGAAAGACTGGATGTGGCACTTAGTGCCATGGTCTACTTGACATGGTGGTGTTCCGTTATAGGTTGGACTCGATGATCTCTGAGGTCTTTTCCAACCTATTGATTCTGATTCCATAATAGCTAAATCCCAAAAGGCACATCCAGAAATGAAAGAACTCCATTTAAAAAACAAAATAAAAATTTAGGGTCTTTTATCAAGATCTTCTTTTAGGAGGGAGACAGAAAGCCTCCTAAGGGAACTCTAAACCACTGGCTTGGCAGTCCTTCAGCTGCTTCATGAGAGGATTAAATATTTTCACAGGTTTTACTGAAGTGGTATTTATCATTAAAAATTGGTTGACCTGATTTTGCCTTTCCGCAGTGCTGACAGACCAGAAACTCACTCTTTACATTGCTCTTCTCACACAGTCTTAACAGCCCTTAGTGTGTCCTCTCTCCTCCCAGGTGTTTCACCCACAGAATCACAAAATGGGTGAGGTCAGAAGGGACCACAGTGGGTCATCTGCTCCAATCCCCCTGCTCAAACACGGTCATCCCACACCAGACGGCACAGGATTGCATCCAGATGGTTCTTGAGTACCTCCAGTGAGGGAGACTCCACAGTCTCTTTGGGCAACCTGTTCCAGCGTTCGGTCATCCGCACAGTACAGTTCTTCCTCACGTTCAAGAGAAACTTCCCGTGCACTACTTGGATCACACACGATTTCTCACCTCCACTCCTCCCTGAGGATCCACCTCCCAGCACCGCACCCGCCCACCGCCTGTGATGTCACAGCCCGTGCCCCGCCCGCCCCGCCCCACTGAGGGCAAGGGCGTTTTCCCCGCCCCCTCACCCGGGTGCACCCACTGCGCCTGCGCTGCACTCCACTCTTCCTGTTGCTTTCTTCCGCCGGCGCGCGGGGTGGGCGGAGCAAATGTCACTGTCCCCGGAGCCCATTGGCTGCCGGCCGGCCGGCGCGGGTGCGCGCGCACTCTCGTGCCCGCCCCCTCCCCACTGACCCCGCCCTCCGCTCCCCGCCGGGGGCTCCGTCGGGCACCGCCCGGGGCCGAAGGGTCGCGACCCCCGCACCGCCCCCCTCCCCCCGCCCCCCCCCCGCCCCGCCCCCCCCCCGTCGCCGCCGCTGCCGCCGCCACCGCGCGGGGGGCCCCCGCCCGAGCCGGGAGCAGCCACGGCCGCCGGGGCCGCAGCGTCACCGCTTCGGTACGTCCGGGGCTCCGAGCCCCGCTCTCCTCGCCCATCACCCTCGCGGCTCCGAGGGGTCGCCACCCGGGCGGTGAGCGGCCGTGCCGCGGGCGGCGGGGCTGGGCGACCCCTGGCCTGGGCGAGTCGCCTGTGCGGGGAGCAGTGGGTGCCGCGGGCCAGCTGCGCGGTGACCGGGGGTGCGGCGGGGCCGGGTCACCGCGGCCGCGTGGACCCCTCCAGGGGCTGTCGCGAAGTGTCTCATCCCTCTGGCCTCGCCTTCCCAGCCTTCAAGTCACTTTCCTCGCTCGAGACAACGAGCTGTGCCCGCGTTCCGGCGGTGGGGCGCGGGGGGGGAGGCCCCTGGCCCGGGGTTCTGGGGCGCTCGGTGCAGCGTTCAGCCCCAGGTCGCCTCACGGGCCCCGCTGTGCAGGGGTGCTGCTGCTGCGGGGTGTGGGCACGGTCGTCTCCAGGTCGCGGGAGTTTTAAACGCCTCTCACTCACACAGAGCGGTTCTCCGGCTTTGCTCGTCAGAGTGCGGTGCCCAGGCTGGCGTCCACGTGCATTCCGGTATGCCCTAGGGATCCCTCTGCCTCTGGGTTAAGTGCGGTGTTTGCTCCCGTCAGGGTTGACTCCGATTACTGTCAGCATCGCTTCGTGTGCATGGGCATTACTTTGAAAAACTCGCCTTCCCTCAATTCTGTTGTCTGTAACTACCTGAAAGGATGTTGTGGCAAGGTGGGGATCGGCCTCTTCTCCCAGGCAGCCAGCGACAGGACGAGAGGACATGGCCTCAAGCTATGCCAGGGGAGGTTTAGATTGAACATTAGGAAGAATTTCTTCGCAGAAAGAGTGATTAGACACTGGAATGGACTGCTCAGAGAGGTGGTGGAGTCACCGTCCCTGGAGGTGTTTAAGGAAGGTCTGGATGTGGCACTTAGTGCCACGGTCTACTTGTCATGGTGGTGCTCGGTCATAGGTTGGACTCTATGATCTCTGAGGTCTTTTCCAACCTAATTGATTCTGTGATTCTGTGTTTGAAATTCAAACAGGCAAGATTTCTATATTCCAGGATGTTTCCTTTGGCTTTCATAAATCATCAAATAGTGTTTGTTTATTGTTTTGGTTTTGGTTGTTTTTTTTTTTCCTCAAGACCCTTCTAAAATTATTCAGAGTTATAAGAGTTCCAGCAGAAATGCCTTTAACATTAGGATGTGGTATACTGGATTTAGTAGCTTGGAATACTTTCCTCTCATCTTCCTACATTCCTTTATAAGTTTTATGCAGAAGCTGAATTGACACGGATATCTAAATATTTTCCCGTCTTTACTGACAGAGTATAAAATGAGGTCATAGATCTATTGGTTTCAGGCTCCTTATAAAAAGTCTCTTTTTAAAAAGAAAGTTACTTATTCTAGTATTTAATTATGAGCATGTAGTTTTGAGTATGTAGTTATTAGTTTCTCAGATGGGTCTAATATTCCATAATCTGCTTCCTCCTATGTATTGTTTAGCATGTGTACTTTATTTTCTGGTATTTTATCCACAAAATTTGTTCTATGCCCAGGTTTAGTCAAGAATTTGGATGTGCATCTTGACTTGACTTTGCAGTTAGTCAAAATCAATAAGACTATCCATTTAGTTTGATGATTGGTCCCACTGAAATGCAGTAGAATAACTAAAGGCTCTTCTGTAAGCAGTTTGTGTATTCAGGTCCCAGGATGCACAGTTTTCTGGGAAAATAAAGTATTGAATACTAGTAGGAAGGTCACTGGGGACTTTGAAGGACAGAGCTTGATACCTTAGGCTCTAAACAATATTTTATGTAATGGCAGCTTCAGACTAGCCCTGTGTCAAGTTTGCTTAAAATTTCATGCCTATGTAGGCTTTGAAAGGAAAGAGGAATTTTTTGTGTATTTTCCCCACACCCGCCCCCAGATCTCCTGTACTTCCTGCACTTTTGTTCGTGGAGTTTCTTTTGCTGTCTCCCTCCACCCCCATCTTTGAGGATTCCTTTGCTTCTTGGTTTATATCTGTCCCACAGAGTCTGAGTAACAGCTGTGAAATGAAACATTCTTGTTGATCTCTGTCTGTCGCTGTCTGGCAAAATTATAAGATCTAGCACAAGGCAATGCTTCATGTCCAGTTTTGTGTGATGGCACAGGAATAGGAGAGGCTCTGTAAAACTAATACTTTTGAACAATTAGAGTTTTTACTGCATATATTTGTGTCTGAACATTTTGCAAGTTTAGCTACTGTTGCATGGTAAAATTTTAGTGTGGGCATTTGATTTTATAATGCTTATTGCTGACTGATTTACTTCATTTTGCAGGGACTGAAAGTACTGTTGAGAAAACAACAAAATGAGTAGTCGACGAAAACGCGCACCTCCATCGAAAGTAGATGAGGAGAAGAAGAAAAAGCTCTGCTGGAACATGCATGAAGACCGGAGAAATGAGATAGTAACATTAGATGATGAAGTGACTAATGAGGACCATGTTCCAGTTCCAAGCACTTCTGCATCCTTCATTGTTATAAATGATGATAGCACTGATGAAGATCTTGTACAAAAAGAAGGCAGTGGCTCAAAATCTGTTAAGTTTTTGACAGTTAATGATGAAGAAGACTCTTATTCCATCTTGACTCCTGTGTCTGTACAGCTAAATATTATAGTCTTGCCATACCGTGCAGATGGGTCCTGGAAGGTTTTGTTGGGAGAATTTGCTCTACATCTTCCTTCTGAACAAATTCTAGCTGACGAATTCCATGAAAGAAGCTTTACTATAATGAGAGGAGACTCTGACGATCAGCTGCAGGTCTGTGTTCATGAAAGAAGTGAAGAAGAGTATAGTAATGAAACTAAAGAATACCTGGGTGCTTATGAACAACGTATTTTGGTGGAACCAACTTTAAGTGGTGAAATATTGGAAGGCTTGAGATGGTTGCAAAAGAAAAAGATAATTGGACTTTATCAAAGACCTGGAGAGGCTCAGACTTTAAAGGTATGCATTTGTATACATTTTGAAAGTTTTCCTGTTTGAAATGTAAAATAGAAACCTCTGAACAACAAAGTCTGGCAGCTGCCATATATTTTATAATGTGATGAAAATGTATAGTTTCTACATGCTTTTGTAATGTTTTCAGTGTGTTTTTTTCTGAAAATCACTTTTTACTTTTTCACTATTAGCAATGCATTACCCAAAGGAATCACAGAAGCTTTTAGTTACAATTCCTCTATATGGTATTTTTAGTAGATTTATTATATCTGTCTATACTTGCTGATTTTCAAAGCACTGGTGTTATTTTCATGTTCTTCTTCTGTTTATAATATTCTTGTAATTTTAACAGCTAATTAAATTATTAACCCTTTCACAGGTTGGAATTTACCTTCTTGAAGCTGGGCTGAGTAAACCAGAGTTTCTCAGTGATGGAGGTGGAAGGCCCAAAAAAGCCAATCAGTTGATTCAAAAACTCATGGAAAAGTTCTACAGTTTTTTAATTCCAGGTAATGCAAAAAAGCTGATTGTTGACAAACAGTTTTTGTTATTAAAGTGTGTCTTGTGTGGTAGTTTTAAATATAAGGAAAAATGGTAATTATTCCTACCATCTAGACTGACTTTTACTTTCAAGGTAATGTTATTAGGTATGTCAATATTATTATCTGACCATTAATCATATGCTAATTAGTTTATGCTGAAATTAGAGGTGATAATATTTCTTCTGTACAGCTAAGGCACTGAAACACAGAGATGTTTGAGTCCTTACCTTTTTGGGGGTAAATACAGTTTTCACTGATTCTTGTGGGTTGGTTGAACAGATCTACAGTAGCTTCTCCGAGTTACACAGGAACTATTCAAAAAAAACTAGGAATTAAATTTGGAAAAGTTTTGTTCCCAGGTTGGTGCCTATCACAAAACTATGGAATAGATTTCTGTGTGTTTTATATTGTACAACAGTTATAATGTAAACCACTACAAAATGCAGCTTTATGACAGTTCTGAAAATATACCACTAAAGATTTACAACTTTGAGCCTTGTTGTCATTTTGGAATTGAAGATATGTTTGCGAGAATAGAGTCAGTAGCAATACAGATTTATAGAGTGATAAATGATGGCTTAGGAAACTTGTGAATAAAACCAGTCTTGTTCCTGAGTGTAGTATTGATTCAAAATTTGAGCTGAAGACTGACTCAATAACAGTGACTGTAGTATTCTGAGTTTGAGGGTTCTTGCAGAAGCAAGAGAAGCCTAGCACCCCCATACAATTGTACTTAATTTAAAAAGGCAGAATTGTGTAAAAAATTAGACAACTTGCTAAAGAGAAGCTTAAAATGAATGCTAACAGAATAAAATCTGAACATCCTTACTTGCTGCGAAGAACAAACATGGAACTGTAAGAAGAGACTTGAGGTGTACCAAGGGATGGGCCAGTATAGCTAAGTATGTGGGGAAGGGAAGATATTGCACATAAGAAGTCATCCTTCCCAAAACTGAAGTAATCTGACACAGACATGTCAGTGTAAGTTTAAAAGCACAATAAAGCAGATCCAAGAGGTCTGAAGTATAAATAGTTTAAGGTATAGAAATGAATAGTAATGGTTTTAAATGTATTAGGAGAAATGCATCATACATGCATTAGAAGCAGAATATTTACCAGAGAATTCATAGACTTGAGATGACTAAGGCATATGATAGAATGCTGAAATAAAGTAATGCTATAGCAGAAAGCACATTTTTCTTCTCTGCATATCTTCTCATTGAGGAAGAGTTGGGGAAAGAGATTGTTTGCAAAGAAAATGACCAGTGACTTATTCTGAGATCCAGAATAAATTTTTGCTGGAATCTGAGGCATCTGTCTTCACTACTCTAAAGGATATATTTTTATGGACTACATGGTTCAGTGCTGCTTACAAGTGAAAAGGCATTTGCTGGAAGGGAAGACATGAGCCTCAAAGTTACTGGAGCAAGAATGTGGATGTGAGTGATTGGGTTGCTAGTTGCTATGTCTTAACTTTTCAGAAGCCATGTAACCAGCTCAGGTTCATAAAGCAGCTGTGTTGCCAAATGGTAAATATTCTGACCGTTTTTCACCATGTACGTTTTGGTGTAGCATAAAATAACAAGAGAGTCTTGATTTTATGCTGATGAATGCTGTTTAAATGGCTAAGTAAAATAGCTGTTGTGGAGAGTAGAAATAAATTATTGGCAATCACCAGTCAAGTCCTACAAAGCCATGTGCAGCTTAATGTATGCTTTGAGAAAAAGAGCAATTGGTGAAATGCTATCAACAAAGTTTAAATATATTATTCAGCATAACAGAGATGAACAACAACTAAAAGCTTGCAAGCAGATTAGGCAGTGCAGCTTCAGTAGAAATTCAATAGATAAATACAGAGCAATGCAGAAGAAAAAAATTATGGCCTCTTTGCTAATTGTTGCAACTTGGGTTGTAGTTGAGTAGGTAGGTGTAGAGCTCAGTAAATGTATCACCTTAGTGTTCAGTGCTAGTCAAACCAAATCAAAGGTAAACAGTTATCCTGGAAGTATTAGAGAACAAAACAGGATCGTTAAACCACTATGTAAGTCCACAGTGTGCTTTATGCTGTGCTCTGAATTCAGAAAAGGTGTGTCACACAAATGAACAATATTTGTGGGGGAAGACCCCAGGTGATTACACACTGTGAAACTAGTTTCATTTTCTAACAGTTTTTAAGCACCTCCTTATTGATGTAGCATTAAATAATATAGCCTTGATTGGATGCTGATGAATGTATTCCTTTTAAGCACTTCTAGCAACTTAATCATGTTTAAAATCCACCTGTTTAACAGAAATAGTTGATTTTTTTTAATTGCTTGTACTTATGTATTTGAACACTTGTCAGTATCCATCTAAAGTGAACTCTATGCAGCAACATTCCAAGATGAGGTTTCTTGTTTTTCCCACTGATAAGCAAATTCTTGTGTTGATGGAGTTGTGCACAAAGTTTTACACAAATAAGAGACATGACCTCTGAATCCCTACATATTATTTTTATATATTTGTTTTCCTCTATGTACTCATTCCGTTAATATCCTTCTAGACATTGTTTTGAGATTTTGTGGTAGGCATTACATCTCAAGTTATGGCAAGCATAGCATAGATGCAGTAAGGAATCTAAAAAAAAAAAAAAGTGACAAAATATTTAATATGGAATCATAGAATCATTGAATCACTTAGGTTGGAAAAGAACTTTAAGATCATTGAGTCCAACCTATAACCCAGCACAGCCAAGTCCATCACTAAACCATGTCCCTAAGTGCCTCATCCACATATCTTTTAAATACCTCCAGGGATATCTCCAGAATCTCAGTGCATCCTATTGACCAATACTGTGCCTCTTTAAATACTTCCAGGGATAGTTACTAAACCATTTCCGTGCACAGCCTGTTCCAAAGCTTGACAACCCTTTTGGTGAAGAAATTTTTCCTGATATCTGATCTAACCCTCCCCTGGTGCAACTTGAAGCCATTTCCTCTTGTTCAGTTACTTGGGAGAAGAGACTGACCCCCACCTCACTACACTGTCCTTTCAGGTAATTGTAGAGAATACTGTGACCCCCCCTTGTCTGCCTTTTCTCCAGACTAAACAATCTCAACTAACTCAACCACTTCTCATAAGACTTGTGCTCCAGACTCTTCACCAGATTTATTGCCCTACTCTGGACATGCTCCAGCATCTCTGTATCTTTCTTGTAGTGAGGGACCCAAAATTGAATGCAGTAACCTCACCACATCCTTGTAGTCCTCTGGAGTTGCCAGCTGCTTGTTCCAAGAGTCATAACCTCTCTTTTTTCCCTGAGTTCCAGCCAAAGCTCCCTGTTCAGCCAGGCTGGTCTTCCCTGCTACCTTATCTTTTGGCACGGGGGGACAGCCTGCTCCTGTACCTTAAGATTTCATTCTTTAAGAATGTCCAGCCCCTTTACCTTTCAGGACTGCCTCCTGAGGGACTCTGTTAACCACACCCCTAAACAGGCCAAAGTCTGCCCTCTTGAAGTCCAAGGTAGCAGTTCTGCTGGCGCCCCTCCTTACTTCTCCAAGAACCAAAACCTGTCATTTCATGATCACCGTGCCCAAGACAGCCTCCAGTCATCACATCACCTGCCAGCCCTTCTTTGTTCATGAACAATGCATCCAGCAGGACATCTTCCCTAGATGGTTCACTCACTGTACAGAATATGGAGAAGCTTCATGAGTTAGCAGAATTAATTAGTAGAGTTAAATACTTTTTTTAGGAAATTGTTTGCAGAGATTTATTTTGTTTGCTTTAATAAATAGCTGGTTTTATAATAGCTTGTATCCCATATCTACCATATAATATTGCATGCTGCTTGTAGCTTCAGTGAACACAGAGACATAAATTACTTAAAGATCCAGCAAGCTGCTTTCTTAATATGAAAAAAACCATAGTCTTTGTAATTAAAATAAAAAAAAAGGAGACTAAAATGTCTGTTTAATTGCTGTTTGTTCTAGTGAATGGTAAATGGTTTGGGTTTTGTTTTCCCAGTGTTTACAGTGTCATGGAGCTATAGTAGCTGGCAATGTCATATTACATAACATTTGCCTTCAGTTTTCTTAAGAAGAATAAATTCTTTGTATAAAGATGGTTGTGGTATTTGTATATGTTATTACTACCAAATGCAAAGCAACAAGTTTTCTATTAATCTAGAATAATGGGGAAAAAGATTATGTTTTCATTGATGCAGGTACAGCCATCTGGAAATGGAAAGATCCTTCTTCAGGTGCAATAGCAGAACTGTCCTTGAAGGAATTCAGTCGTTGAAGGAATTGAGTACTTGAAAAGTGTCAGAGAAACTGAATTTTTAAATAGTACAATACATCTGTTTCTCAAATGTAAAAAAGACTAAGATGAAACCTGTGTCTTTGAATTACATTTTGAAATGATTGAAAGCATAGTTAAATATTCACTGTTAAATAAGTAACTGAGAGAAGGGTAAACTTCCCTAGCATCCTTTAAAAAATCCCTGTGGTACATAGAACCATTTAATCAGGGAAAAAAAAATCTTTGAAAGAATGAACAAAACAAGAAAGGTGTGGACAAAAAATACCCAATTGTATGAAAAAAAATTGCTCTAAAGTATATTGTAGTCTTTGCTCCCCTGTAAAATTCTGGATCGACTTAGTTTATATAGAAATCAATTTATTATGCTTAAAACTGTGAGATTTGAAAAATGTGATTTTAGCAAGTATAATGATAGGTGTCACTGTAGATTGAATTCATTGATTGAAGTTATACTTTGCAGTCATTCTAATTTTCTGCTATTTTCCTAAAATGAAGGATGTGTGTTAGAGGATGCCTTTGAATGGTTTCTTTAATATATAAAGCTGAGTGCTTTGCTTGGTGCTTTTCATTTGGCCATAATATTAATAACCCCACATGTGTACTCTGATTGCCTGGCTTACACTGGAAGTCTTATATGTATATAGTTTTCATGACTATATATAAACTCAATGTCTTTCAGAATTCTCTTTTCCCTTGTGAAGCACTGGAATTGTTTCTTTGATTTAAAAGGATTAGGGGAAAGCACTGATGGCTGCCATACTTAGGCACACCATTTTGTTCTTCACCTTCACCATCCATTTGAATGAAAGGGTGCTTTTTTTTTTTCATGAAAGAGCCTATTAGCAGCTCCCAAACCTTATTTTAGTATTAAGTTCTCTAGTGTTTGTGCCAGGTACCTCTCTTCTTTGCTAGCCCAAGACACAGGAATTATAATTTCATTTAATTGTGCCTGTCATTAGCTGTTTTAGAGTTTTTAAGGTCACTTTAAGGTCACTTTATGCTGGAAATGATGGCTCTGACTTGCTTCCAATTTTTTTTTTTTTTTTAGAAAAATTTTGCAAGGTGACTGTCTCCAGTGCTAGCTAGGGTTAGTATCTTTCTGTATTTTTTTGGTGCCAGTGTTTTTAATTTGAGAACTAAAACACTGTAAAAACTTGTCCTCTAAGTCTTTTTGTTCTCTCACTTTATGTCAGTTTCCTAGAATGCTGACCCTTGAATTTTTCATGAATTTTTGGTCTGCAGTGCTTAAGTTCTTTGTATGCCCATATATCCAAATTTTGTGAAAAATACATAAACACAAAGTCTTCTTTCCTAGAGGGTAGAAAAAACGGGTAGGCCTTCTGTCTTGAAGGGTGCATACTTCTCTTGAAGTGGGTTTTTAATTTCCAAAGTATGCCTTGTCTGAATTTTTGCAATGATGCAAGTAGTGGGAATTAAGTGTTGTCCTACTGCTACAATTTTCTTATCCAGATGGATAACTTAAGTTTAACATGAAAGCTCTCTGAAGGGAATCTCCTGTATTGCTTTTTAAAATGTGTTATTTTATAAAGAAAGACTTTATTTCATAAAAAATGAATGACAAATGCTTGACAACTCACTATGGTTTTCTCCTTTCTGTAAGGTCATTGACCCATATTAATATTTAAATGTGAAATGTGAGATATTTGTGATTCTGTACTAGTTGAAAATGTTTAGTGGAAGGTCTTTATCAAATAAATAAGATCTGGTCATTCTATACCTAAATTCTAAAGAAAGAGCTTTTCTGATTATGTATACATCTGTGATCGCCATAGCACCCTACGATTAACTTTCAGCTGTCCTGGTTTCAGCTGAGATAGAGTTAGTTTTGCTCCTAGTAGCAGGTACAGTGCTGTGTGTTTGGGTTCAGTGTGAGAATAATGTTTGTAACACAATTATGTGTTACTTGTTGCTGAGTAATGGTTACCCCAGGTCAAGGACTTTTTCCGCAGTTTCAGTCCTTGCTCTTCCAGTGAGGAGATGCAAAAGACTCCAGGAGGGAGCTTGGCCAGGACAGCTGACCTGAACTGGCCGAAGGGATATTCCATACCATAGAACATCATGCTCAGTTTATAAACTGGTGAGAGTTGGCTGGGAACCACCAGTCACCACTTGGGGATGGGCTGGGCATCAGTCAGTGGGTAGCGAGCAATTGTATTGTGCATCACTTGTGTTTCTTGGGTTTTGTTAATCTCTCTCTTTTTCATTGCTATTACTATTATTACTGTTGTTTTTTACATAGTTTTACTTTATTTCAGTTATTAATCTGTAAAGCAGTGCTCATTGTTTACTACTGCTGCTAGCTGAGTTAGGTGCAGTCATGACATATGTTTAAATGTCATTTTGCTTTGCTTGCTTTCATCCATTAACTAAATATGTTGCAGCAAAATTTACTGAGATGTTGTCCCAATTTGATTGATAATGAGCATCTTGAATTATTTGGTGTATGCAGATGAGCTGGAGGAAGATGAAGAAGAATCTGACATGGAACTAGAGCGACAAAATATTGAAGAGCTTTATGACTTTGTAAGACACACCCATCAGCAGGATATCCAGTTACTTAGAAAGGATGTGCAGCATCCTGCATTAATTCCCATTCTGAGGCCATACCAAAGTGAGGCTGTGAATTGGATGCTTCACCGAGAGAACCACACAAATGCTCCAAGCAGTGGCAAGTATATGGATCTGGAAAACTTGCATAATTGAGGGAAGTGTAATTGTCAGCAGTAATGTTTTCTTGCTGTTTGATTAGAAGTTTTGCTAATTATTTCTTTACTATTTCCATAAAAGCTGTTGTTTGGTTAGTACACTAAATGATAAGCTAGGTCTTGCTGAACAGCAGCTGATGTACCTTGTTGGTCATGAAGCTCTGTGGAGGTAGACTTCAGCTTTTTGTCTCTAAATGTCACAATAAAGCTGAACAATTCTAAGCAGTGTGCTGTTTATAGAGAAACCTCACAATAGTAACATGAACACTTTCTTCATAGAAAATGCACTGCACTTCTTATGGCGGGAGGTGATCACTCTGGATGGAGTAAAAATCTACTATAATCCATTCACTGGCTGGTATGTTTTTATAGTTACTCTTTCTGAGAACGCCTCAAGGTTGTACTTTGTGAAATCCTCATTGGTAACTTTATCCCGAAGGATGGAAGATAATCCATATCTTGTGTTTCAGTTAGCAACTAAAGAATTAGAACAGTGATATCTTTATTTTGAAAAAAAAGGACAAATTGGAATATATAGTGCACAGGTAAATATGTAAATCTCAAGTTGAAGACGTAATTTTTTTTTTTAAATTTCAATAAATTTGTGGTTTAATGTTAACATTAGGGCACTGGAGACTTTGACCTTCTTATCCACTGTGTTTAAAGTCTAAAGGAAGGGGGCAGTATAATGCTTTTTATTAAAGCCGGGTATTGCATTACTAAATCTATTTCTTTTTTTCTTGTTAATTTGGTTAGAATAGAACCTTTTGATTGCTAGTTTACATTATGTTTTTCCCTATATAACTGTCAGATCTCTGATATGTGAATATAAAACTATTTCAATTTTTTGAGACTAATATTATGATATGCCAAGGTTAGCAGGGCAAGGCCTATTAGGAGGTGAAACAATTCTAAAAATTCTGGCATACGTATTTGTCTTTTTCAGGTTTATACATCCAAAAAGCTTTTTAACATTTCTTAATCTCATCTAAACTAAACAAAGATAATGCCCCACCCTACAAACTTTGCCTTGCTAAAGCTGTGCTGCATGTTCCTGAACATGTGCTTCTGTCACACCATTCTGTAGTTATTGACTTTCATTTGGGAATGCACTTGAATTTTAGTATTATCCGTGAATACCCAATTGCTGGACCCCAGTGGCCTGGAGGCATTTTGGCAGATGAGATGGGTCTTGGAAAAACAGTAGAAGTGTTGGCTCTTATTCTGAATCATACTGGACCAGATATTAAACAAGATGATCTGACATTACCTGAGGTAAGAAAACCAGGATGAAAGTTATTATGAAGAAAGTGCTTTTCAGAATTAATGCAAATGCACTTCTCTTGAGTTTAGTGCTTTCTGGTTTGTAGAACTCTGTATTTAAAGCTGTATTGCAAGGACAGTTTTTCCTTTGTAGGACATGATACTTGGTGGCATAAATGGTGGAATAGTTTGCATGAGAAGCAGTTGATAGTTTGCCATTGTTCAAGGGTGTTGTCAGGCAACTGCACTGCTTATATAGTTTACACAGGCTTCAGGAGTCTATAAATATGTCAGTTTACTATGTTGGATGTCATTCTCTCCTTCACTTCTTTGTATTGATGAGTATCAAACATCCCTTAGACATACTTTCTATGCTAAAATAGAGACAATTTACACTCAGTAAATAAAGATTTCTGCTCTCTCTATTTCATATAATAAATGGGCTTATTTAGCAACAATTTTCCATCTTTTCACTTTCCTCATCACTCATACTGTAAAAACTTAGCACATTCACTGAAACCAAAAATTCTTTCTGAAGGAAAAGGACTGTTATTCTTAAGTAAACTCTTACCACTTCATGGGTTCCATACCTTTGAATTCATGGCAGCCTGTTTCATTTTACGTCTATTCATAATGATCTCCTGCCTGCTTGTAATTTTATCAGTTAAAAGTACTCAGTTCTCTGAGAGAGTGATTCTTAAATGTATAAGAGAGTCAGCACTGAGGAGTGTGAAGAGGGGAGTATAAGCACTAATGCACGTGGACATCAACTGACAACAATAACTAGAAACCATAACTTTTGGAAAGCTGGAGTTAGTGTAACTGTTTCATGATACAAATAGTTGGGACAGACATCTTAGCTAATATTTTGGGACCTTTATAAGCAAAATTGTATGACATTGCCTGTGGTTGAAAGGTAGTATTCCATTAATCCAGAAGGCCTCTTGTCATTTGTATTTTTCTTGTCTTCAAATATAAAATGTCTTTGTATGATGTCCTAAAAAAAACCCAAACAAAAGTAAAACTAGAAGTGCTTTATTCCACTAGAGACTTTTTGGATGACTCCTGGGTTGTGTAAACCAATGGTAGAGTTACTCCAATTATTTCAACTCTCTGTAGGGTTCAAACAGTATCTGGAATTTCATTGCAGTTACTTTTTAAGAATCCTACAGAGCAACTAATTGGACAGGGCAGAGTGAAGTGTCAATGGATATAGCTATAAAACAATAATAGAAATATTGGCACTGTGTTTTTTCCCAGCTTTGAGATTCTTCTTTATATGCCAGTTTTTGAGTATACATTTCCTTGGATTGACTCACTATTCCTGCATCACTCATAATAGAGTAAAATTGAGGAGGACAACTCTAAAAAGAAAAACATACTTTTTGTACAACTAACTAGGGCTTTTCCTCCTAGGTATTGTTTACCTCTTTTTTTGTTTCTTGCTATATATTAAATATATATTTTCCTCCCTCATCAGTAACCTAGATCACTTAACAGCTATAGATTAATGCAACTTAATTCCGAAGCAGTAAAGGACCCCAAAAGGCTTGCAGGGCTGCTCTTTCTGTTCTCACTGTAGGTGCTGAACACCATTTGCCAAGAAACTGAACTGAATGAGGTGTCATTCTGTACATTAAAAATGAGCTATCTAAGCAAATTGGTGAGATCAGAACATGTATCTGCAGCAGCTCATGCTTATTTTCAAATGTGAAAACATTAACGAAGGTCAGAGTGACTGTGAAGAGACGTGAGCTAATAACTATTTAATGTTCTCTGCATTAGGGTAAGCTTGTGAACTTCTTTGTTCCACCTCAACCTTTAGAAGGAAATAAAAAGAAAAAACCAAAGGAAATGGAGCCTAAATTGAAGGAAAAAATACAATATCCCAGTAAGTATTTCTGATGACTTTTAAAATGCATTTTGTTTTTGGCATTAAGTCTTATATTGGCCACTGACTATGAGCTCAAGGTTACTCTTCACTTCTTCAGAATGAAATGATTCTTTTGCTGGGCACTGTCATGTGGGATTGCATGCTACAAACAAGTGATTCACAGTTAAAAGTAAGTTAGCAACTCAGAACTCTGAGCTACAGAGCTCCATATAACTAAAGGTCTTTGTAAAAGAGTTTATGCATTTAACTGAAATACACTATCTTTTTTACGCCTCAGTAAGAAAATGGAGTGACTTATTTCTATTACTGTCAAATATTGCCTTGGATTCACTGCAAAACAGCAATTTGCAGAGCTGTCTCAAGTCAAGCATTGTCAAAACTGCTATCTGTCTTTGTTTTGCATTTTTTTAGATGAACACTATGTTTAGAGTTCCCTTAATATGCATTCTCTGAGGTAACTTTCATTTTATCTGAGCTGTAAGTTGTTTTGCTTTGATTCTACATACAGGCTTACGAGTGATGATATTAACAGCTGTAAAAGAAATGAATGTGAAGAAAGGAGCATCCATCGTTGCAATATTTAAGTACATCAGTGCTATTTATAGGTATGACACACAGAGAAATAGACGGCTTCTCAAAAGAACTCTAGAAAAGCTAATTGCAGAACATGTAGTAGAGCAAGTCAAAGGACATGGTCTGGCTGGGTCTTTCAAGCTGGGAAAGAATTACAAGGAACAGAAGAAGCGAGAAAGAACCAAAGAGCAGGTAAAATGTGCTGCCACAGTTACGTCAATGTTGCAAAGACAGATCTTTTTTCTACTGATTGCATGCTACTTGGAGCTTTGTTGTGTGTGTGCACTAGTTCAGTGATGCTAACTTATTGGTAAAAATGAAGAAAACGGCAGCATTTGCTTTGACATTCATGAGTAAAGAAGCAGAAGTCATACATAGATCAAATTTGGTGCCAAAGTGTTAACTACATCTGTTATAAATCTTGTAAAATAGTGGCACTGGAAGTTGCATTCTTCCTACTGTGAAGATGTTTTTTAAACACTGGTAAACATTAACCAAAACCCTTCTTATGTTGGGGTTCCCAAAGCTGGATGTAGTACTCCATGTGGGGTCTCACTTGAGTGGAGTGGAGGGGCAGATTCACCTCCCTCACCCTGCTGGTCATACTGCTTTTGACTCAGCCCAGGATACGTTTGGCTTTCTGGGCTGTGGGTGCATGTTGCCAGCTCATGTCCAGCCTCTCATCCACCAGCACCTGCAAGTCCTTCTGCCTCAGGCTACTCTCAATCTGTTCGTCCCCCAGCCTGTATTGATACCGGGGATTATCCCAACCCACGTGCAGTAACTTGCACTTCATCTTGGTAACCCTCATGAGGTTCCCATGGGTCCACTTCTCGAACTTGTCCAGGTCCCTCCAGATGGCATCCTGCCCTTCAGGTGTGCCAACTGCACCACTCAGCATGGTGTCATCTGCATGTTTGCTGAGGGTGCACTAGATCCCTTTGTCTGTGTCATTAATGGAAATATTAAATAGCACTGGTAGACATTAAACAGCACTGGACAATTTTGTATGTAAAGTCTGACATTCTTGGTTAATTTTACTTTGTAGGTAGCAAAGACTTCAGAAAATACTCAGAAGAAGCAGCTGACTGATGCTAAAACTCAAACCAAAGAATCAAAAAATAGTGGTATCACATCTGAACACGTCTGTAAAACTGCTTCACAGGTGGATATTGCCATGGAAGAACATGATTATTGTACACCTAGCAAAAATAACAAGAAATCTGAACCAGATCATGAGAACTCTGTAAAAGAGAATAATGTTAAGCAGGAAACTGTCATCCCAGAATCTCCTGATTTGCGTGGCAGCCTCCTTGTGTCCAGTGACATGAGTAGTCATCCTGATTTTGATGTTTCTAAAACTACAGCTGATGTCCAGCAGGAAATCCCAAAGGTCCCATCCTCACATTCCCAAGAACATGCTGACAGTAGTGTACAACATACCAGTTCTGTATTTCCATTTAATACCTCTGAATATCGTTTTGAATGCATCTGTGGTGAGCTTGGATTGGCTGACTACAAAGCTCGTGTGCAGTGCCTGAAATGCTACTTATGGCAGCATGCAGAATGTGTAAACTACAAAGAGGAAAACCTGAAGAGCAGGCCCTTCTACTGTCCCCATTGCCTTGTGGCAATGAAACCAGTTCCCACAGGAGCGACTCTGATAATTTCTCCAAGTTCTATTTGTCATCAGTGGGTAGATGAGATCAATAGACATGTAAGATCATCTTCTCTTCGCGTTCTGGTAAGATTATATAGCTTCATGTTCTGGAGAGTTATTTTATCAAAGCTCAGGGCTTCCTGTCAGACATTCTGCGTTACTTGGAAGTTCAGAGGTCTCTTTGTCCTCTGTTAGAATTCTCCATTTCCTGCTGTAGATCTATGCTTTGGCATCACATGGTTCATTGGTGTCCCAGAAAGACTGTCTGCAATTAGTTTTTAACTTTTTTCTTTTTTAGTTGGTCACTGGGAGATAATTCAGTGGACTAGGTATCTATAGAAAATGGAAGCAAATTTTGAGCAGTTGCAACAACAGGTGATTTCTGAGAGGGAAGGCTGTTTGAAAGACTACCAAGGAACTTAAAAAGGCCTGACTGTTAGGTGTTTTGAGTGTTGTCTCACTGTACACTTGCAACTAAGCAGCTCTCTGTTGCTTCTTGTTTTGTTCTAGCTAAAAGCTGTTTCAGTAGGTAAAGAGTGTAGTTTTGCATTTCTGATTCTTGGGCTTTATGAAAGAAGTCTTGTGTCTTGGTGTTTACTGAAAACAACACCCTTACAACTTGGGCATTGCCTCTATAACATCTGTATATTTATTTGGATGTTGCTTATTTGGAGACCATGTATTATCCTTTTACTTTATTTCTAATAGCCCTGTCACTAAAATAAACCTTATTATACTTACAGTAAATAAGGCTATACAGGATTTTTTAATATATAGTTATCACAGTATTCAAGGATAGCCATTGTCTTTTACTACCAATGTAGTCAAGTTTTGTCCTTCATATTTTTAGTAGTCAAGAACCTTTGTAATGATCTAGTGCTTTGAAAACCATAAATCCCATATATTTTGAATAAAATAACAGTAGTAGTAGATTGATATAATTTTGTCTTCAGGGATATATCTTGTACCTTTAGCTGTTATGCATAGATACCCAATGTATAAGTGAATTCTAGGCCTCCAGTGCCATATGTGTGATCAGTCTTATTAGATTTAGTGCATAAATGTGTAAAACTCACATGGTTTTTCTAGGGCCCAGTCCAAATTTTATACCAGCTTGGATGAAAATTGTCAGAAATAGATTTACATGGTAACAGTAAAATAGTTTAAATACTGACTGTCACTACTTGAAACTGTGTGACACCTTCGATTCTAGGTGATTGTTTTCATTTTCCTTTAACTGCCAACTGTAAGCAAGACTTGTTTTCAGTGTTGCTTCAAAATGAAAATTTGGGGAGTTATTTTCTGTAGAGGTAAAACGAAGGTAGTGGAGGTGTTTAAAAATGTGGAGATGCTTAAAAGAACCAGTTTCCCATGTTAACAGCTTTTGCATTGCATGTGAAGTGGGCTTTTTACTCTTCCAACTGCCTACAACCCGTGGGAAATTCTAATGGTTTTATGTAATAAACAAGAAATTAAAATTCATCAGTAGGTCTTGCTTTGTGGCAGGTTGTCTTTTCCTGCTGCTGTGAAAACAACCAAACCTTGGCCAAGTTATAAACCTCCAGAAAATCTGTTAATAAATACTTGAAGAAATCATTAGACTTTGACAGCTATTTATTTCTTCTTGTTTGCTTCAGTGAGCATGCTCCTTTTGGTTTGTTTGTTTCTTTTTTCTTCCCCTCCCACCCTCCCTTCTCTCTCTTTTTTTTTCATGTGCAATGACCTGGTTGCACATGCTTTGTTGTTCCACTCTGGGGCTGAAAAGAAGGAACTTCTCTGCAGGTGTTTCTTTCAATTGACAGAAACACCATTGCCTTATGCACAAATGTAGAGAAAGATAATTACTGGAAGAAAAGGTATGATTAACAGTGAAGTCATGTGCTGATCATTAAGGGGTAAAGAGCAGTTATTTTATTTTTTGTATGCTTCTGAAAGGTTTTGGCTTAAAATTGTGAGGGAGATAAGAAAAGTACTTCTGATAATAGAACAAATGTTAGTATGAAAGGTTTATAAAAATATTCTCTTGGTGCACACAGATTGTTTCTTACTAGGGTATTCTTTTCATCTCGTAAGTCTCCACAGAAATCCTTTTGCAGATAAAACTTTACTCAGAGTATCATTTCTAGTTATTATATATTTTGATGCATCTCTCTGTCTTTGCCTAATCATCCATTAAATTTTTGTGGCAATGGGAAGAAAGGTAATGCATCTACAGTAAAGGAGAAAAGAAGGCTAGACACGTAACTTACATAATGTTGTGCCATACAGCATTACAGAATACTTAATCTTCAAACAAATAACAACAAATTACAACAAATAACTGTTGAAGAAAATAACAAAGTCTTCTCTTCTTTAAAGGAGAAAAAAATGTTTTGCAATGTTATAAATAATTATACATAAAAATTTTGCATCAGTGACTGTATTGTATTTATTATTATGCTACTTAGATGTATTTCCCACCATGCTAGTGTAGGAGTACAGATTTTATGAATGGTTTCATGCTAGAAGCATGCATATACTAAGTTGTACTGATATTTTGGCATTTTTATTAAAGTATCTCTGATGTTTTCTTCTTTGCTATTGTGCTATTGAATATAAATCTACGTAGGTGTATCAAGGTGTGAAGAAGCATGGCTTTTTGCAGCCACACATGCTGGCGGAGCAGGAGGTGGTTATCACCACGTATGATGTCCTGCGCACTGAACTGAACTATGTGGACATCCCCCACAGCAACAGCGAAGACGGGCGCCGCTTCAGGAACCAGAAGCGGTACATGGCCATCCCAAGCCCCTTAGTAGCAGTGGAGTGGTGGAGGATCTGCCTCGATGAAGCACAAATGGTTGAATGCACTACTGCAAAGGTATGACATTCCTGGTCGTGTGTTTATTTAACTTGAAAAGGTTTTGACAAGTTTACTGTAAATAATACAGTAGATTTCCTCTCCCCCTCTTAATGTTCAGTGCACTCAAGTAATTTGTCCTTGTCACTTGTTCTGTAGAAGTGAATTTTCTGTTGGAGATACTTACTATTAAATGGTTCTCCTGTTGGAATTTTGGCAGACTGTGAAGTTTATCCAGCTCAAAAAATACTTAACATATAATCTATACTGACAGTTTAAAGAACTAGATCATCGTGTTGTGTACAGTGTTTGATAGCTGCAAACAAGACACTAGCCTGTTCAGTGGTATGATTCAGAGGCATAGACATGTCCTTTGGGTCTAGAAGCTAAAATAGTCAGCAGTCTGTCTGCAAACTCAAGAGATACAGTCTGCAGGGGGAGATTATTTTAATTAGTGTCTGTCCGATCTTTTTGCCCAAGACAGAAAGATAAAAATGCTACTTCCATAATGGCTTATGGGCTTTAATATATTTTTTTTTAACATACCTTTTCTTTTGCTATCTGTTTGGCTTCTGTGAACTCTTAATTGCACTTGATTACTCAGAAGAGGACATGGCTTTTATCAGTTCTCAGTTACCTTCAGAAAAGCTCCAAAATTTTATATACATTTTCATAATATGTTGTACTGATGCTGCTTCTAATCTGCTAATGTTACATACTGAAAAGATGTTCAGACTTCTCAAAAATAAGGTCCACATGTTGTCAGACTGTGTTCTACTCTGTGTTTATCTTTGTTTTCCATTTCCTACCATTGGCTCTATTTCCTTTTACTAGGCTGCTGAAATGGCACTCCGTTTAAGTGGAATCAATCGCTGGTGTGTCAGTGGTACTCCTGTGCAGCGAGGATTAGAAGGTGAGATTTTATGTAGCAGTGTCATCTGTGGGATTTCCCTATGCTGATAATTAGGTAGTGCTTTGAAGCAGTTAAAACATCTGCTTGTTTTGCTTTGAATTGATTAGGTACTCTGATTTGGTAAGCCATAAACTTCAAGCATGTAATAAAGCCATCAATACTTTTATCAATATAAAAATTGCAGAGCTGGGATCTTTTTGTCTCCCTTAGTTAGACAGATACTTTGGACAGCAGAGAAGCTGTATGTCCAACAGCTGATTCAAGTCTGTTCTTCAGTTTTCACTTAGAGTGGGTAAATATTAACCCTTCTCTATTGCAGCTATAGGTAGTCTGCTCTGGTTACAGAATCCTTTAAGCTGTCAGATACAGCAAGCAAAGCTGTATTTGCTTTTTGCATAGCCCCGTATGAACTACTGTGGGCATCAACTGCCATGAATATAAATTCTGGAAATCATGCTAAAGCTTATGAAACTGTCTTAAGGCCTTATGTAAGGACTTAATGAATTGAGATGTGTGAAGTAGGTAGCTGTATGTTAGCAGGTGTCATTTATTTTGTCATTTTTGTGAGGTACTCAGTTTCTGTAGACAGGCTTCAGAGAGATAGAAAAAAGAAAGGGAACTGATTGACTTCTCTGTCTCCCTGTTCTCTGATTGATTTAGGAATATATAGTACACACTGAGACAGTGAGTTTTAAAGTGGATAAATCAGTGTAAGCATTTGTGGACTGTTATATGGATACCAAATTACTAAAGTCAATATTGTAGATTAATTCATTATGGAATTGTGAATTAAATTTATAAGTACGCACTGTAGTTATGAGAATATGTAGTTAATAAGTCAAACCCTGTAGAAGGAACTGATAGATTTTATTGTCATGGTTAATTTCTTCAAGTCCTTATGTGTGATAGTCTTGATTTAATAAATATCTGAAATGTCGTATTGTGCATAATATGTATTGACAGTCTCTCAGGCTATGTTAAGGCAGCCTCCATTCACTTAGGGGATGAAAGCTGCTGACTCATTTCAATCTGTGACACTGCTGCTGTAATACAGTTGGATAGGACTTCTTGGTAAACAATTGCTTCTTGCATAGAAATGATTCCCAGGATTTTTCTTCCCCTGGTCTATGATGTATTTGGTGAATGTCGTGATGCTTTCAGCTGAATACAAAATTACTATAAACCTAACAGAAAAAGGAATGTAGCCACCAGATCTTTAGGAACTACAAGGTACCATCACATATCTCTGTTTTGGCACTGTCCACTTGCAGCATTTAAATGTGTGCTTCTGTATTTTTCTGTTGAGATTTAGGCACAAGTTTAAAGTCAGAATGTCCTTAAATTTCATTCCAAAAAGTGATGGATTTCTGAATTAGGCAGAATTAGTAATTAAATTGTATTTTCTCAGTTAGCAAGAAAACAAAGTGTCTTTTGTTACTTCTTTATGTCTTAGCAGAAAAGTGAAAGTCTTCTGAATTGCAGCTCCTTCTAGGTGGTGGGCAGCAAACAGTTGGTGCACAGCAGGCTGTGAAGTAATGATACTGAGCAGTGTTGTTTTAGAAAATCCTGGCAGGCCCTGTTAACCATATGCAGTCATGTAATTTCTGCCTCTTGCCTCTGCTCTGAATAGGTTTAAATTTGTCGCTTTTTTCTGCTAAACTTGAAATTGGGAAAGTGTCTCACAAATAGCTATATTCTTGCAAGTTGTGTGGAAATCAACAGCTAGCTAAAGGAGAGAACCCCCACCTTCCCCTACCCAGTCCCTTGCCTAAAATTAAATATTTTGATGAGAAAATGACTGGAAAAGAAGTGCAGAAGATAATGACCAGAAGGTCATTATGCCTGGTAGCCTTTGTATGAAAGTTAATTTTTTGAAGGCATATTGTGAAGTGTTGAAACACAAACACTGTACTAAAACACTTTCTTTTCTTGGCAGATCTGTATGGATTAGTCCTTTTTCTTGGAGTTGATCCTTACTGGGTCAAACATTGGTGGGACCAACTTTTATATCGACCTTATTGTAGGAAAAATCCCCGGCCTCTTTACAGTCTAATTGCGAAGATAATGTGGAGATCAGCAAAGAAGGATGTGATTGACCAAGTAAGTAAGAGTTTTGAGTTTTAAAATTCCTGAACATCATTTATCAAGTTTTATTTGTAAAATTACTTATTTTCTTCTTTAATTGCAGATTCAAATACCCCCTCAGACAGAAAATATACACTGGCTTCACTTCTCTCCTGTGGAGAGACACTTCTATCATCGCCAGCATGAGGTGTGCTGCCAGGATGCATTGGCAAAACTCAGGAAGATTTCAGACTGGACTCTTAAGCTTAGCAGCCTAGATAGAAGGACTGTGACTTCCATACTATACCCATTGCTACGGCTGAGGCAGGCCTGCTGTCATCCACAAGCTGTTCGGGGAGAGTTCTTGCCATTACAGAAAAGGTGAATTTCTGTCATTTCTTAAATGACCTGCTTTATCCAGAGAAAAACTGATTGCCCCCAACAGTGCAAGATCTTGCACAGTACTCATCTCAAGACTAATTTTAGGCTTCTTTAATTAAATGTGCAAATATGGTACACCAAGCTAATCTGACCTCAGAAGATGAATGGGTGCAGTAGGGTTGTTAGTGTAATTCTTGTGTTAAAGAACATAGTACTGAGAGGCAATTTGATTTTCCAGTAGCATTTTAACCTTGCGATGTTGATGGATACTGGGGTGTTCCAGGTGAGAGATAAAGTGTGAAACAAACCAGATTCTTCTTCAGTTTCAAATAAGCCCACTGATTTTCTTTTGTCTCTTACAAAACTCATGTTCATAAATGAGAAAAATGAACAAAATGAATCAACAGAATAGAATAATTATTTAGTTCGGAGAAAATGTTAATGTGAGGTTGCAGAATTTTTAAATGTAGATCCAAACTTGAAAGTTGTACAAATGCTTTTTTCCTTTTTTTTTTTTTTGCATGCTTTCAAGATCATCATCTTCACAAGTGCCCTCCGAGTATCAGTTTGGTCTCAGCATTTGTTAGACCAAAAGCATGTTGCTAGCCCTATTGCAAAATGTAGCTGCTACATTTTCAATCAATTAGAGGGAGGCTGTGAAAGAACAGGCTGTTTCCATTCCAGACTCTGAGAGCACTGACTGTTTTTTTTAACCTACAGGCAGAGAAGAACTTAAACTTTTAGCACTGCCAGTGTTATTTCTACTGTGTCCTAGTCTTGTTCATCCATTCTATTCCATCTCTTTCTATGCTTTATGAAGTTTTGTGTCTTACTCCTTCCCTCTTCTCATACAGGGCATCTGTGGTGCCTAAGCACCTGAAACTGGCTTTGCACCTGCTTCAGCAGAGATGAATAGTTAGATGTTGTGCTTGTAGCACTTTCTGTTGAACAGTCTGCTAGTGTGGAAACAAGGACTCAAACATAGGAGAAATCGATATTTCCACCCATACAAGATTATTTGCATTAAAATGAGCTAGTGTAGTATAAATGAAATGTATAAACTGAGCAGAATATGCTGGGCACTTCTTAGTCCTGTGTTGATTTTGGTAGAATGGTTGCACAGTGACAGCTGCATAGTAACTGTGGTGGAAAAATCAGCAATGAGAATTAAATCTTTCTTAAAATCACATGTACAAAGAAAGCACTATTTCCATATCTTTTTTGTGTACCAAACTTGACTGCAGCAGTAGACATTCCCAGATCAGAGAGAAGATTTGACTCCTGGCTTTGGTTATATGTATGAAAATAATGAAGAAATTCACTGCTAGGGCTCTCCTAGTTTAACTGAGTAAAAAAAGCTCTTCTTTTTGTCTTAATTGGTAGTCTCAGGCTGTGTATCAAATTGCGTATTTTATATTTACATCCTTCTGCTTTTTTAATTTTTCTTGAAACTGCTGATGGTTCTGAAAATAAAAGGTAAGTAGCAATGGTGGAATTATCAGTGTATGCAGGTGCTATGTGTATTTGCCATTACCTCTGCAGAATACACAAATAGTGATTATATTGATTTAAAGCCTGCTCTGGTATAACACTGTAGCATAAAGCCAAAAATCAGTTGCTGCAACTGGAACTATGTTGCAAAGGGGTAAAATAAAGGCCTAGGAAAGTGTATCCTTCCAGCATAATTTGGGCACAGTCTTCGCAGGAGTTACATCACCTCTTAACTCTGTTCCACAGTGCTAAATGCCAAATAGTAAATGCTTCTCTAAAGGTGAATGAGGCTGAGGAGCAGTGTTTCAGGGGAGAAGGGTAGCGTCTGGTCTAACAGCAGTAGTTGGTCATAGAAGCAGCCTCAGGTCAGCTGTTGTAGGCTGTTGCTGCTGTTCACTCTCCTGTCTGTATCAGTCCTCTTTCTGCTTAGATTCTTTGTCCTGTGGCCTTACTCCAACCTATCCTTCTTGCTTCCTTCTTGCTTCTTTTTCATTTCTGTTCCTGCTTCGCTCTCTTCCCTCTCCATTTCCTGTATTTTTATATTAAGTTAATTTTCTTCTGACTAAATTCCTTTCCTAATTTATAAAAATGACAAAAGTAGAAAAAGAAGTTTAAAATTATTTTTGCTAATTTTCCCTGTTTTCATTTCACACATTTTTCTTCTTTGCATTGATACGTCATGTGCGTTCCATGTTTAGATTGGTAGCAGAGGGTAGAAATGTAGTCTCTCATAGCTGTTTTCATCTGAACAGCTTTTGGCAAAATGAGGTCTGATTTCTCGTGTTTCTAGTTCATACTGTAACAGAAAGAGCAAAATATTTTTCCTTGTGAAAGATTGTTTTACCTAGTTCTAATTTTCTTCTTGCTTATTTCTTTCTGCTCTTAGGGGATGTCAACCTCTCAACACAGTGAAGTTAGGGGAAAGCTCTAGCAGAAAACAAGGCTGACAGCTAGGGTTTTTTTTAATAAGTAAATAAATATAAAAAAAACCATTGTACAGTATGTTGGATGCATGTAACCATCTTTAATGCTGCACAGCATGACAGTTTTATTTCTCTAGTATTGTGATTTTGTTTCAGATTTGAGCCATTTGTTCTCCTTTTCAGCACCATGACCATGGAGGAACTGTTAGCATCTCTGCAAAAGAAATGTCGAACGGAGTGTGAAGAAGCTCACCGACAGCTAGTGTGTGCTCTTAATGGCTTAGCTGGTATCCATATCATTAAAGGTAAGATTGGATGACTGTAGTGCATCTGTGTGTACTGGGAGGATAAAAGAAGCTATACTTGTGTATTTGTACTTAACCTGCTTTTGTTTTATCAGTACTGCTTTCTGGGCTTACTTTGTGCCCCCTGCCATGCAAACTGCTATGATGGCTGTGGAATCTCTTCCCTGCTGCCTGCTCTACAGCTCTGTCAATGTAGATTTTGTCTGAATTATGAGGAAAAAAACTTTTGAATGGGAAGCAAAAATAACTGCATTAATCTTGAGTGTCATTAAACAAAATGAAAATAAATTGAAATTACTTAGTTATGAATGTGAAAAAATGCCTCTTTTCCAAGTTCTTCTAAAGTTGACAAGCTGTTTGAAATTTTCCAGCTCATGTTAAAATCTTCCTTCAGAGAGGAAAACCCACAAACTACTTTTTCTGTTACTTACCTTACAGAAAGACTACATTCAGATTCTCTAATCTGTAGTTAGTAATTATTAGGTTTGAAATACTTCATTATGATTGCAGAATATAGATAAGTGTTTCAGATAGAATTAAGTGCTTAAAAAGATTTATATATAGATGAAACACTTCTAAATTACACTAGAAGCAAAAATTAAGCTTGGCTTATTTTGAGAAGCAGATTGATGAAAATTTCATCTGGTGAGAAACAAAAGCAGGACTGAGGCAGAGTTCTGGTCTGCAACTCCCTCCCCAGTGTTAGTATTACACTCAGTCTTCTTTATCAGTTAGAAGGAAGCACACCTTACACATACATGAAGCCACAAATTTATTCTTCCTATAGTTGAAATCTTATAGGTCTAACTGTTATTAGTCCAGATCTAATTCTTACAGGCAAAAAAAGAGTAACAATCGCACTTACGTGTTTATACTGCTTGTCCTGCTTTTATGCTCACCTTTCTACTTAGGCCCTTCTAGGTCCTGAAGTCAGTAGTTTCATAGAGGTGGTGGCAGTGCTATCACTAGTTGTCACTACCTTCATCAGGAGGAATAAGATGTTTGTGTTGACGGTTTCTTCCTCACACAAGGATCATTTTTATGTTTGCTAGCACATGTTTGCATCTTTCTCTTTCTTCACTGGTCTGCAGCTCCGTGAAAACACCAAATTTAGTGTACATAATGCCTTTTATGAATTTTACATACTCTTTCTTTGTTCTCTTTGTTGCCCCTAAAACCAGTTTTGTCCAGCTCTAAGCCTGCATTTCTTTGACTGTGGGTGAGTTGTTTATAGCCATGGCTTTCTTATTCACTGCCAAGCCTGTGCACCATCTCTTAGCATCCCATGGCTGTACCCTACACTGCATCCTATATCTTTACTTCTCAAGGCCTCTCCAATTGTTACTAGGCCTGTATTTCCTTACACTACATCATTGTGTTAGTTGTAAATATCTCATTCTACATGGAATAACTGCTTGTTACTGCTATCTATGTAAAACTGGGTTTGTACCACACAGAGATAAACAAAAGTTAAAAAAAAAATCAAAAATTAGCCATAGACACCTACCGAATGGCAGAAATTGCTATCCCAGCTAGGCCAAGTAAAAGGTCCGGGTGAATCAAAATTCAAAGGAGGCCTGACAAGCTTCAAGCTTGAGGCCTTGCAAATTCAGCACATAGCTTTTGGCCTGTTACTGGTAAGGACAATTCTATACTGCAGGACTACACCCTTACAACTGGCAATATTTTCAAGCAACAAATTTTGTTGACATAAGATTTTTACACTTCCAGATATGGAGGAAGATGATGGTTTTTTTACTCTGTTATGTGTCTTTATACATTTCTTGTCCCTGTCCTTTGCCGTGTTTTAGGAGTCTCTAAGACTATTACTGCTAAGTAAATTTTCATCAATTGAGAAAGGAAAATTAAATTTTTTTTTCCTGCTTTTCCATATGCAGTTTCAATTTTGTTTTTCGTTTTTAATTTATATAATCTATTTTCTGAGAAGTGATTGTGATGCTGGTAGCTTACATCAGTAGTTATGCTCCCTGCATGTACCTAATCATTTCTGCATTTCTGAAGCGTGATACAACTTTCATTGTTTTCACTGGAACAGTGAATAATGTATTTGCAGTGCAAATTTAGCAATGCATCACTGCAGTGAGTTGTAGATGATGTTTTTTTTTAGTAAACATGAGATTTTTTGGACTTATGCAACCACAAATACATATTTTAAGATTAAGAGGTCTACAGATCTTGCAGTCACAAAAGATATTTAATTTGGAAATTGCATAGTTTTTGTAAACTATAATACTCTGTCTTTTACCATTTTTTTTGGGTGGTGGGAGGGGTGTGGAATAGAAAAGATTTTCTTGAAGACAAGCACTTGTTATACAGACTCTCTGTAAACATAGTATGTTTCAAGTGATGTAACTCTTGTTACATCAAGGTCAGTCATGGCTGCTTGTATATTTAAAAACCAACACAATATGTGTATGTTTTTGTTACTCTTTTTTTAATCAGGAGAATATGCATTGGCTGCGGAGCTATACAGAGAAGTATTAAGATCATCTGAAGAGCACAAAGAAAAGCTCAAAACAGATTCCTTGCAAGTGAGTGAGCACTGAAATGTAAAAAGATGTAGTTAAGAACTGGAATGCTTTAGATTTAACTTAACAGGTCAGTCTTTTTTTCTTCACAGTGGTGTGCTGAATTATCATTTCAGCGTGCTGTCATGATCACAGTCTTTAGATAGGAATCTGTCCAGTGATTTAGATAGGAATCTGTCCAGTGATTTAGATAGGAATCTGTCCAGTGATTTAGGCAGGAATCTGTCCAGTGATTTAGGTAGGAATTGGTCCAGTGACCTTCATGTTTCCTTTTTTTTTTTTAAAGGAAGAAAGATGCTATATTTCTAAACACTTGCTTGTGAGTCTTCATGATGTCCTTGAAGCAGTGTGTGATCTCCACCTGCTGTTCTGCAATAAACTTAACAAGCTGAATTCCTAGACATGTGCATGTGACTGTGACTGCTCGCATTAATGTTGCTACATTGCATCCTGCAAATACAGGATGCTGGGTTTGCTCTGAGAGTGATATTAATGTGCCAAATGAAAGAGAATAATAAAATTGTTGCACTGCAGAAGATAAAAAGGCATCAAAACATGAAAAAGAATCAAAGTGAATTTTCTCTTCAGACATTTGTCTTCATGTATTTTGAATAGTATATTAAAAATATGAACATATTTTATTGGTAAAAAAAGCAGTGGTTATCTAAGTAACATCTTCAGACTTCTTGAAGAAATATTAGTTCTAAATTGGCCAAGATTCTCCTCAGCATAACCAGATATTTAAAATGTTAATGATAGATAAATAAGAAGTGATCAGTTGTCTCTTTGCTTGCTTTGCTAAATAAATTATTGTTTGATTATCTTGCATGTGGCCATCTGATGTCTCTGTTACGCTTCTTTGATTTTTCCTTCTCTTTTGTGACTTCCTGGTGGCTTTTTTCTCTTATCATAGCCATAGTAGCGTAAACTTGTTAAAATACTCACAACAGGGTTGTTAATTAAACTGTTTTACTGGATTATGCAATCCAATAAAGCTTTCCCCCCCCCCCTCAAAATACATGCTGCCTAATAATTGCTTTGGTAATAAAACTTAACTTCTGTTGAATGCTTCTCAGTCGTGTAGGTTTAGCTCTTAAGGATAACGGCAAACCACTGCTGGCCATTCCTCTTCAGTGGCTAAGATAGTAATAGGACAAAGATAGAGTCAATCCAGGAGGTGAGAGGGGTACAAGTTCAAATATAGTGGAGGTTATTAATATGAGTCTGTGGGAGCTGGTAGAGGTCTGTGCAGGTAGAGGTCTGGTTTGGGATACACAGGGTGAACCTAGGGAAGAGGAACAGAGTTGCCTCGTATTAATGATCAAGTTTATTTTTCCTAAAAATAAACAAAAAAGTCATGTTTTATTCAGTCATCTTTTATTTCAGAATAGTGAAAATGAGGCTCTTGGGATCTGGTATTTTCCTTAAACTTTATTTTGCTGTAGATGGGCTAAATTAATTGTTTCCTTAGAATATTCTAAAAGACATTTACAAAAGAATGTGCTCTGAAATAAATAATTTGTCTTCCATAATAGTCAAGGGCTGTTTTAATTAGTAGGGTGAGTATTTGATGACCTGGTATCAAACTTGCTGCTGATTTACTTTTGAGATGTTGAAAGTCTTTCATTTCTTATTGTTTCCTGTCTGAGTAAAATGAGGAAAAGTATGTTTCTTTTCTTTATAAGGTGCTTCCAGATTAACAGAGAAAAAATAAATCTAATTTTAAATGCATGCTAATTTCTTGCTGTAAGCTTTCATTGCTGTTCAAGCTTTTCCTGTCACAGATGTTGCAATGGATTTTTTTCATGATTGCTGTTGACTTTGTGTATATTTAGAGACTTCATTCTACACATAATTTGATGGAATTGTTGGCAAAGCACCCAGGAATTCCCCCAACTTTGCGTGATAGCCGACTTGCAGAAGAGGTAAGCAGAGTTTGTTTTTATATAAATACATTTTGAGGAGCACATTTTTATTTTTTGTTCTATTTTCTCTAACTAAGGAAATAACATTAAATGGCTTTAAAGTTAACTATGTACATTTCCCTTCAACTTGGTAAATTCATGAGTTGTTTAGAGTGTGAGATGAGAGCAGAAATGTCCAGTAAAATACTGCTGTTCCGAATGCTTAGTGGCCTCTGTTATGTTGTATGTTTTACGGAGCTTTTAATAATTTTTCTCTCTAAAATATTGCTTCCCTGTCCCCACAATGTTCCTATGAAAATCACTTACATTCTTTATCATTAACATCTATGTATCATCCTGAATTCCTCTGAGTCCTTTATTTCCTCACACTTTCTTTAGCTTTCCTCATTTTTAACTGCAAATAGTCAGAGTTTTCTCTAGGTGAAGTTTTTTATTTTTCTTAGGCCAGATGAGCAAATCACTGTGTATCATTTCCTGTGTTCATCAGCCTGTTTGACTATATCCTTAATCTTAACTGGGAAATATCCAGCAAAATAGTGGGATTACTCTTCCCGACTGGTTACTTGTAGTGGAAATATGGACCACATTTGGAAAGGAATGTCATTATTGTGGCATTATTTGGGTTGAAAGGGACTTGGGATGTCACTAGCTGAATCTCCCTCTCAGAGTAGGGTCAACATTGATTTCTGACCAGGTATCTCAGGGCTTTATCCAGTTGGGCCATTAAAATCTCCAAGGAAAGAGATATCACAACTTAGCTGAGTAACCTGTTCAGTACTTCATAATTCTCATAGTAGGGAAAAAAATTCACACAGAACATCCCAGTTATCATCATCGTGGCTAGGCTTTGCGAACGAAGATTTGGGAATGTTGCTCCGCACAGAATTCTAGCCGAAGTCGACCATTATCGTTGCAGTTTCCAACACCATGCTTGCCTAATCTAATATTCCTTTCCAACACCATGCTTGCCTAATATTCCTTTCCAAATAGCAGCTGTACCTTGTTCACTTACCATGTACTTCAGTAAAATACCTGCCAATCTAGGTGGTTTCCTTCTGGCTGCTGCAAGGCTGTTCTTTAGTACCCTCTAAGCCTCTCTCCTTGAAGCTGCACAGGCCCAGTTCTTACAACCTCTCCTGTTTTGCAGTAGTGATCAGTATCTGTCTTGTTATTTGGATATCTTATGGTATTTTATCATTTTTACACAAATTGTAGGTATGGGTAACATTTTTTTTTGTTTTAATGAGACTTGTTCTCTTAACTATTTAAAGTTTCTACCCACCTTTATAGAAACAATATAGAAATATTGCCTGTTTTTTATTGATCTGTAATTCTAGAAATTTTCAAAATGTCACCTTCTCCTGGCATTGTTATAAAAAAGGGGATTGGAAAATTTGTATTTTTTTTATAAATGTGAAGCAGAGGTGTTTTTTCATAGCTATCATTTGCCAGTAGCTCATCTAAATCCCCAAGAGTCCTGTCCACTCCAGGCAAACTGGGCTCTGTAACAACAGTATAATTATCTTAATAGTAGCAAACAAAAAGAAGAAAGACTTAAACACACACTAAAATGCACTAAATTAAGGTACCTAGTGAAATCAGTATGAAATTATGAAAGATAAATGTTACTTGTAAGTTGTTTGTTCATCAGTTTTTAAAATATGAAATAAACTGATACTGGTTGCATGGTGGAGGCATTTGTATACTAAGAGGGGTTTTCACTGTCAGAAGTAATTTCTACATAATTTGATGCACCTAAAAATAATGAAATTTAAGCCTTTCTTGTTATTTCATGACTAAGTTTTATATGTAGACAAGTTCAATTTTCCTGTTCTCAGATTGTTCTGAGATCTTTTTATTGTTTGCTTATTCAGCACAATACATTTATTGTACAGATAAGTAAGAATAGTGAGTTAAATTCCACTTCCCTTTTGTAATGCAGTGTGTTCTTTGGGCTTGTCTGTTGTGTTCTTTGGGCTTGTCCAAAAGTGAAGTTTCATAGTTAGCATCTTTGAACCAATTTGTCTTCTCAAATGGTTTTTGGGCTTACTAATAAATGCTAGATTCTAGAGGAAAAAAAATACTGCCAAATATTACAAATGAAAGTGGGTAGCACATAGGTAGCTAACCATTTTAAAACATTTTGGTAGCTGGGGATTTTTTACATTTTCCATTATTCCTCCTAAATATGATTTGTCTATAATTTAAGCTCTTATTTCCATACAGGCAGAACAACTTCGACAACATTATATGAGTAAATCCAATGCAGAAGTTGCAGAAGCCCATCAGGCCTTACAGCCAGTTCTTCAAACCATTCGGGAGCTCCAGAGAAAGGCAGGCACCTCTTAAATATTTTGTCTCTGAATTTTGAGATTTTTAAAAAATACTGTTTTCATCTATATATGCAGAACTCCAGCTGTTTATTATTTCTAACAGTTTTTTGAAGGCCTATTTGGAATGGGACTTCCCACAGGCTTACTTCACGCTTACCACAGACCCAAAACATACTCTGTGTTCCCCATATAATGAGGCAAACAGTACTTGATGAACAGATGACTTCAAACAGAAGTACATGGTGGGGGATGATTCTAGTAAAGTTTAACACCATTCTTGATTTTTAAATTAACTGTGCTTCACCCATAATTTAGGAAAATAAGGTATAGATTTGGGCCTTGGAACATTTTTGTGGTGTATCAGATGGTATTTCAGTTGCTTTCAAGGGAACTGATTTTTGGCATGCATTTAGTCATGGTGCTTAAGGCTTAATTGTGTTGAGTCAATATGACAGTTCAGATTTCAGAGAAAGGTGCAAACCCTTAATGAATTGATGAACACCTGAATTAAAAGGGTGGTTGTCATTCGCATAATAGTAAATAAATAATAAAGAAATGAGGACAAATAGCACATGAGGAAGTAAACTTACGCATCTTCTTTCACCTGTTAAAATTATAAGGTCACTGTTCTTGCTCTGTTAATTTCAGAGAGAGCTTTGCTTTCTCTCATTAAATGATCTTTTCGTCTCCTTCTGAGAGAGAGAGAGAAGAAGGAAACTTTGAGATCAAAATATCTTTATGTGGCTGTTGTCTGTAGATAGTCTTGGTGAATCTAACTCTACTGAAGCATTTTGAAGGTGTAGAAATAGATGAGAATGTAGAAAGTTTCTTAATCATGTGCTTACACTTCAGCAGAAGAGGGGCTATGTTTTAATCATGCTCTTAATCCTCCACTTTCAGGGAATTAACCAATCTGTTTGGCTGTGGCCTAAAGAGCAGTTAGGCCTAAACAGTCATTACGCCTCTGCTGCAATGATTAAATTGTTTCTTTGTTGAATGTTCAAGGATAAATCTATTCTTTTTCATACAGATACATTCTGGTTCTCCTTGGTGGTTGGATGTCATCCAGACAGCAATACAGTATGCCATTGATGAGGAGCTTGTTCAACGTGTACAAAACGAAATAACCTGCAACTACAAACAGCAGACTAATAAACTCTCCATGGCAGAGAAGTAAGAGAGTAACTAAAATAGGCTAATGAATACAATTAAGTCTGTTCGAGTCTTCTTATCAGTTTGCGCTAACAGTTGCAATTAAATAGCAGCCATTTTTGCTTCAGAGCATCTGGACTGCAATTATGTTTCAAAACCTGTCCCTGAAAAAGCTGGCTATATAGAAGACTTGGAAAGAAAAGTAGGAGAATTACCATTTTCTCTTAGATGAGCATTCTTTGAAATAATTTTCTGTATTATGAACTATGGTTTTACAGTCTTCTGTACTCATGCAACTGCTGATCAAGAAAGATTCAAAGTTTATTGCATTTAACCTATAAAAGAAATTGACTTGCGTAAATGGAAAGTAGGCAGACAATATCAGAAAATCCTTATGTAGCACCATAAGATAACATCACTCTCTTTCTGAGCAAAGAATTTTGGGTTGGTTTCCTGTTAGAGACAACAGTACCACTGTTTTTTGGGTTCAATTACAGAACAATGGATTCAGAAGGGACATCTGGAGATCACTAGGCCAACCCCCAGCTTATAGGTCCAGGCCTATGCTCATTCAACCCAATCAGGTTGCACAGGGATTTACCCTGTTAAGTTTAGCTTATCTCCAAGAAGGAGATTCAATAGCCTCTATGTGAAGTCTGTTTCTGGTATATGATCCACTTGTTGGAAATAAAGAAACATTAAAATCCTTTTATCTAGTTAATATTTCCTGTGTTGCATCTTGTGTGCAGTCTCTTGTCCTTTCACCAGATGCCTTTGAGAAATATTTGGCTCAGTCTTCTCTGTACCTTCCAGTGAGATAAATGTAGAAAGCAACAAGTGAGCATTCTCAGTTTAAGGTTGAATAGACCCTTTTCTCCCAGCCTCCTGTCATATGTTCTGTGCTGAAGCTCTGTAAGTTTATCACAGAAAAGGGAGACATAGGAAGGACAGTGCTCTCGTAGTTTAACTTCAGGCAATTTTCTCAGAGACATGAACTTAGGCTCTTAAATACAGTCTTTCTGAATGATGTTTTTAGTTAAATACATTTGTATTACATTTATTATATATAAATAGATGTATATAAATGCATATACATATGTATACAAATATCTAATGTGCTTATAAAATGTGTATGTGTGTACAAGTTTAAATACTTAAGATATGCACATTCAGTACATAAAGATGTATCCTCCACTATGATTATTCTGCTGTCATGATCCCCAAAGGTCACAATTTCTTGCCCTTGCTGCAGGTAAACGTACCCTTTACTTTTCAATACTTAACGTAATTCTATTGAATAATCTAAATAATGATACATATAGCTCTTTTTTTTTTGGCACAAGAGGCAATGGGCACGAACTGAAACACAAGATGTTCCCTGTGAACATCAGGAAATGCTCTTTTACTGTGAGGGTGATTGGGTACTGGCAAAGGTAGCCCAGAGAGGTCGTGGGGTATCCATCCTTGGAGATACTCAAAAGCTGTCTGGGCATGGTCCTGGGCAACCAGCTCTAGGTGACCCTGCTTGAGGAGAGCAGTTGGACAACACCCAGAAGCCCCTTCCGATCTCAGCCAGTCTGTGAGTCTGGATATAAACATTTCCTGTTTGAGTTTTCATTTGAGAATGATAGCATCACATTCTGGTCAAAATAAATAAGAGGACAGCATTGTTTGTATGTTCATGCAGAATTTGTATGCATATGCATCTATCTGTATGTTTGCCAGTGTCATACTGATTTTTTTTTTTCCTCAGTTGAAATTAGGTATTTAAACAGTATCTTCTTAAATTGTTGCTGCTTATAGGTTGTATAACTTTGGAAAAGCTATCTGCAACTCAAATGTTTATTTTATAAAGTAGGGATAAAATTTAATTCCTTTTCAATTTATTTTAGGATATGAGATGGCATCTTAAAAAACAGTGTCTTATCAAGTGTTACTGGTCAGTGGTGAAAGCAGCAAGTACTCTAACTGAATATAAGACATGATTAATCCATGGTATAATGTGGGAGATTTTTATAAAGCTGGTATTATTTGGCAACTGATGGTATTAACAGCAGACTCGTGATTGCAATTTACATGTATTTTCAGGCTACCTCGTTAGGCAGATTTGTCTATGTTACTTAAAAATGATATTACTTAAGTAGGTCATATTAAATTCCAGGCTTTAGTGGTGGTGTTAAACCTGTGCTTTGATCTCCACACTTTACAAAACAAATGTTTTGGATCAAACTTTCCTTGTGGTCTAGAACTACAGTCTTGTCCATGAATGTCAGACCTTGTAGGAACTGTGCACTTTCAGCAAGAGACCTCTGCTCACAGGAAAAACACAACATGGGAAGTGCTTAACTTGTTTTCGTGTTTCCACTCCAATTGCAAAAGACACCTAGGTTTTAGGAAAATAGTTTCCTGTTATGTCCATTTAATAATTTTAACTTTGAAACCTAACTTGCAGAATGAAGTATATTTTTGTGATGGGTGCATTTGTCTACTGTGAATTGCACAGGTGCATTGCAAATCATTTTGTTGGCCAACAGACACAAGTAAGACTATGAGTATGTGCAGTTGTTTACCTTTAGTAGATTTGCATTGTGGACCAGAATGTTGCGGGTTGGTGTTCACTACTAATATTTGGTCCCATCTCTCAAGTCTTGGGAAGAATCTTTCTATTCTACAAATACCATCATCTCTGGGCATACTATGGAGTGATTTCTGACAGCATTACATGCAGTAATAATAAGCATTTGCTTATGATATGAACTTCATATGTTGTCCTAGATTGCTATTTAGCTATTTTTCTTCCACTTTAAAACATTTAATTAAGTTTGGATTTGGTGACTCGGTGTACAGTTATTTCCCTTTGTCTTTAAATCAGATTCCGTGACTGCAGAGGCCTTCAATACCTGCTCACAACCCAGCTGGATGAAGTGAAGAAATTCCAAAAGATTGTAAGAGAAGCAGTGAAAAACTTAGAAGGGCCTCCTTCTAAGCAGGTTATTGAGGCTGCCACTATCTGCCATTTGCGACCTGTTAGACTTCCACTCAACAAGTATGTCTTGAAAATGGAAAATATACTTTAGAAGTGGATTATTAAATTTTCCTTTATTTCAAATAACACGTTGAAGTCTTGATTATGTAATCAGGGGTTGTATGCACACAGATATCACAGATCCATTTGTTAGAATCATGACCTTTGGTTTTATTCCTCGAAAATCTTTTCCTGTCAGTTATTTTATTGAGTGTACATATGACAGTTAATTTGTTCTTTTTTAAGGATTTTGTGTGGTTTTGTATGTTGGAATAGATATATGGTAATTACGTTGGTTTCCAATGAAATTCTGAGTGCATCCATTTTCAATTTTCTGTATTGCAGCTGTGTCTTTTGTAAGGCTGACGAATTGTTCACAGAATATGAGTCGAAGCTCTTTATGCATAGGTAAGTTCATAGCTTTACAAATTTATCACTTAGAAAAGTGAAAGTTGGATTGCTTTATGTTTTCTTCTTGAAGTTTTCTGAAATAACTTTATGAACTAGTTACAGCAACTTCTTGCTAATGGCCTTGATAAAGGTTTTATTAGGTTTAATTTTCTGTGTAAATGTCATTTGAACAAGCTGTGTACAAGGAAGGGATTTATGTCACTTTCTATCAAGCTGCTGTAATATGGCCATACATTTGAATGAAGTGTTGAAGTGTTCAGAAAGTGTGTGTATAAATACAAGTATGCTAATTTAATACTGTGGTGGTTTGGGACCACTACAAAAATCCAAAATCCAATTTCCAGGCTTCCCCCACCCCTTCCCAATATTTTATCTCAACACCGAAGAGAAATTTTCAGGCACACATCTCTATGGGGGAAAGGGGAAGTATATATACATTTATTTTACACAGATAAATACTATACAAGCTAAAAGTAACTATATATATATTATTATACACTTCTATCAGTCCCTTCAAGCCTCTCCCTTTAAATTTAGTCCAGGAAAAGCCATTAGGCTGATAGGTACCCAGTCTCTCTCTCTCATGGAGTGTTCGGGGAACCTAAATGCTCCCACCACCAACCTCCAGCTATTTTCTGAAGTCCTTTCTTCCTCACGAAGTCCAGGAAGATAGCTCTGAGTCCGTCCTCCTTGGTTCCCTGTCAGTCTCTGCTGTGTCATTCTCTCTTTCACTCTCATACCTTAGTTTGTAGGGTGCTGTAGTGTAGTCAGCTTATCAAATGTACGTGTCCTGGAATTTCATTCCTCCTCTGTGTTTTCGATTGTCCTGCATTTAAATCACAGCAGGACATCCTCCGGGCCTGCCTCTGGTCCATCTCCAATTCCGCATGGGGTTTTTTCTCCCCCTGGCACTGAGCTGCTTTTGTTATCAGCCCGTCTCTTTTGGCTCAGCTTCAGAATACTAAGCCTCGCATCCACTCCCACTTAACAGTGAGAGGGGAAAAAGTTCCTGCTCAGCTTTTGCTACAGGCGTTCGGTCCAGTTATGAACTGTCCTGAGCTCTGCAGTCTGGCTGGAAAGGGGGGGAAAAGAGGGCCTGGCCTCCTCGCAAGGAGTTTGCCTCTCTCTCCCTCTTACCTTCAGGTGTTGTGAATCCCTTCCTTCACAACACACGCTCACTTCAATGCTGCCTCCAACCCTGGCTTAGGCAGAGTTGTGGGGCTGCAGGGCCCCCCTCCCTCCCCACAAAGGGGGAAGAAGGAGGCCCTGCCACCCCTGGCCTTCTACACCCACATACAGCAGCAGACACAGACTGATTGCCAACCACTTCTGCCGGTCGTGTATATATGATTTTTCAGCAGGAGCAAACAAGACGAACAGTGATTGGCCCTCCAGGGAAGACTGCCCTGGCACCCAATCACCTCTGGGCCCCCCGGCTTCCAGGGGGAGCAGTCTCAAACTATGACAAATACATATTCTTCTGTGTGGAAATATTTATTTGCAGTCCAGTTGCAAGTGGTATAATACCATCCTCATTCAATGTTACAATGAGAAAGGAGATCTCAGACAGGAATGCAGCTGAAAGAAGGGTGACACCAGCACATGGTGTGAGAAGTATGCATGGTGGACAGTATTGAGAGGCATAGATTACAGTCCTTTGCATGCTTTCTCTTTTACTTTTGTCTCTCATATTCCTCACAATGTCAAAACTGGATTCAAAAGTCTTGAGGTCAATGAGAAAACATTTTGAAAAGTCTTTACTAGTGGGAGCTCTGTTACCTCATGATTGCTGGAATCAGGAAACATCAGCGTGTTTCTAAATCAGCATTATTTGTCAAGGAGTGAAATGGGAAGCTGTAATGTTCTTAAATAGTGCAATACACAGCAAATTTTGTGTCAGAGTTTAACTGCAGGTCTCGCTTGTATAAAAGGCCAGAATTGATTTTTTTTTTCCTTAAATGAATATGACATGAATAACTCCTGAAAGATAATTTAGATGTTTAAGCCTTTACAAAAGCTGGGGATGATTTTGAGCTGACAAAAATGGTCTTATAGTGGTTTCGTTGCTGATACTGAGGTCACTGTTCAAAGCAAGCTTTTGAGGCATTGGGTAGTCAAACAACTGTTTATCCTTGTTTGGTTTGCATTATCCTTTAATCAACTACTAGAAGGCTGAAATAGATGATGAATAAGTAGAAATGAACGTGTAAGTACAAAATCAGTGATAAGTGCTGTACTGGGTTTGTTTTTAAGTGTTAAAGGCCAAATGGCAATATTCGAGGAGATGATAGAAGACCAAGAGGGGCTTGTTGATGACCGTTTGCCCACTACAAGTAGAGGACTGTGGGCAACCAGTGAAACTGAACGTGCCTTGAAAGCTCTTCTCTCCTTTGCCAAAGCTCACCGAATGGATGTTAGGCTAACTGAAGAAGGGAGCGTATTCCTGGAACTCTTTGAAGCATGGAAAAAGGAATATAAGGTACAGTAAATGAGATGGTGACAAACCAGTTGTCATTTAATTTATTATAAACAAGTTGAAGCTGAATATTAACACATCTAAATTGTATGCCTGAAATTAGGCTTTGCCTACACCAAGCTTTTCCACAGTGCTTATTACAGGATTTGATTCAAAATGGTTTATATATGATTTGAGTTTCTAAAAGCTATACCGGCAACTAATCAAATTACTAAGCAATATAATTGCACCTATTAAGACAGTATACAGATATAATTGTGTTCATCTGTTTACTTAAGTCAGAATGTAGCAAGACTCAGCAAATCCAATGTTATTCCATTCTGTAATTCAGTTTATCTTCAGTCTTGTGCTAGCTACAGATGTACTTTCACTATTGCTTTATTTCCTGGATCTTGTTTACTACACAGTGTAACCTGAAATAATTACTTTCCTGTTTGGATCAGAGAGAACTACAGAAGTGCCTTTCTTTATATATCCCTGTGTTTCTGTGTTTCCTTGCTTTGAATACATACTGGTGATGGAGATGGGGGAAGAGCTATTACACACAAGGCTCTCATCCTGTCTTATAGCTTAGGTGTAATCAAACGTTTTCTCTTGAACGTTTCTCCTTCTCATTTTCAATTAACACGGACATCAGGTTCAGTAGAACACACTTGGTACACTAGTGCCAGGTTTATCGATTCTTTTGTACTTTCTTCTGGAATGTTGGCGTTTTGGGTTTTTTTTATTTGTGGATTTTTGTGTGGTCTGACATCAGCGTAAATTCCTGTTCCTTGGTGAGTTTATGTCCATGTGATCTATCTCCCAGGCCTGCTGTTTCATGATTCTAGGAAATCAACAAGTTACCTAACTTGCTTTTTCCTAGGAGGTTTTGAAAAAGCAAAGATGCTTATTACTATCCAAGAATTTAAGCATTTGTTATTAGCTTTAATCTATAGAAGAGAAGGAGAAGATACTCTATGGAGTGATTTATTTTTTGTATCTTAGATTAACAAATGATATTCGGTCTGTCTTTGTTTTTCAACAAACTTGGTTATGGATCACCTACTTCCTCAAATTGGTAGTGCTCATTAGGAGTAAAACTTAATCTGGATCTGCCTCAAAAAATTGCTAGTTTACAGTGTAATACAGTGCAAAAGCTTTATAAACAAAATGATGTCTCAATCAGCATTTAGGTGTCTGGTAGTTAAAGTTATTAAATGCCTAATAGGGTTGTGCTGCTCTCACAAGGTTAGGTCACTTGCTTATGGTACCAAAATGCTGATTGGAGAATAATGACCATTCTCATGACTGTTCCCATGTTTCGTTTTTTGTGTCCTCGGCTTGTAAGAGTTGACAAAAGGAGGAGGACATAAAATAACTAGTTACCAAGGCATTGCTATGTGTTGGAAATTTTCTGCTGCAAGAAAGGACACAGTCCCTTCATGTGCCTTTACATGAGGGAAAAAAAGATGGGACTAATATGCCGATGAGAATAAAATAGTGTCATTATGATTCCATCTGTAATATACTTGGAAATGCTGATTCAATGGTCTGTACTACTGTAATCTACATTGAGCTACAAGGATGATACTCTGTGAAATAAGCCTTATTTTATTCAACATTTGTTTAGTCTTGCAAGAGATTTGTTTCTGACTGTTAAGTTGCATTAGTTATTGTAATACTAATAGTTGTAGAAGAAATGAGAGACAGCTATTTATAGTTGTTTATACAAAGGGGTTGGAAAAGAAAACCGACAGGATGATGTCTATACTGTTTGTTTTCCTTCGTGGTTTGTTGTTGTGGTGGGTGAATAATGCAAAGAAATATTACCCCTTCCTCCAAAAAAATTCTCACATTTTCCATTGTATGGCAAAATCACATAAGAGGAACTCAACTCAGTTCTGCTGTTGATTTGTTTGGGGTTTTCTTACAGTTACTTCATGAATATTGGATGGTACTTAGGGATCATGTGTCTGCTATTGATGAACTGGCAATGGCTACAGAAAGACTGAGAGTGCGTCATCCTGATGAGCCAAAACCAAATCCACCAGTTCTCCACATCATAGAACCACATGAGGTGAAGTACTGTGCAGGAAAGAATGTGTTTTTTCTGAAAGAACCTACCTCCTACAAAAATAAAATCTGTATCTTGATCTATGTACAAGGTCTATAATATATACCTCTCGTTCAATTTCAGAAAGGGTTGGTGGAGTATACAGGTCCTATATCAGTATATGGACATTTTTGAGCTTGTAACTCTTATTTTGATATATTTTTGTTGGCCTTCTGACAGAGTGGCATTTTTCCAAAAGCCTGCTGTCCTTCAAGCAGCAGGTAAATAACTCTGGTACCTTTCAGTACAATTGTCCAATTTTCCAAGCTGATGGAAAATTAGATTGACCTGATTCCTTACCCATATTGCTACTTTCCACAAGGACCTGTAAAACAGCAGTGAACACCTAGAAGACAAATCTTTTTGTCAGTATTTCAGTATGCTCAGGAATTTCTGAGCTACATCTGAGAGACTTTCTGTTCATGATGATAGAGAAAATGCTGGGTTGATTTAAACTCTTAATTTATTTTTTTTGCACAAAAAGAAAAATGTTCTCACTAAAAACATTTTGTATTTTGTTTCAGTGAGATTGAATGTTAGATAAAAGTACTTCTTTCTGTAAGGAACTAGATATTTCATCTGTGTGTTGAAACGATTTTTAAAACAGAGCACTTTGCTTAACAAATATGTAACAAAGTTTTAAGAGTTATGTATGTATATGCAGTCACAAAAGAAACACCCATTGCTTTGGCTTTCACCCTTCAGTTGCCTCCCTCTTCTGCAGTATTAATAACTACTCCACTATCAGCTGTAATTAATCTAAAAAGAAGTCAGTTTTATGTTTGTGTCTTTGTATAGGTTAAATGAAAAGTGTAAACTTCTGAGAAGTATAAAGAAAATAATTTTTTCTTACACATTGTTTTTGGAATGAGCAGTTGAGTCTAGGATATATATGGCTGTAAGAAGATAGATGATCAATTCAAAAGAAACTTATAAAAAATAAGTGCTTTTAATTTGATTTTGTCTCTGTAAAGAAACGATAATGCAAATAAAACGATAAAAAACATTTTTCTGTACTGCGTGGGTCTCAGCCCATTCACAGTGCTGTGTTCATACTGAGTGCAGGAAAGGAATAGATAATAATTTTTGCTTGGGGAGAAGCACATCTTAAATTTACACCATGAGCTGTTCTTCTGTCTGTCCCCAGTAAATTATTCAGTTGAATTTCACCAAAAAATTAATTTAAGCCTTATTCTAAAACTTTACTATTTTTTTTTCCTTTGTTAATACGTGTTTAATACTGTTTTCATAGGTAGAGCAAAATCGAGTGAAACTTCTGAATGACAAGGCAGTTGCCAAATCACAACTTCAGAAGAAATTGGGACAACTTCTATATCTCACTAATCTGGAGAAAGTAAGATTAATGATTCCATGGTCTTTACCCAAACGATGTACTCTGTTTACCCAGTGGAAGAAACCTACCATTATTTTTATTTAAAACTTCCATCTTAAAGAAATTGTATTTTCTGTGAAGATTTATTGCATATTGAAATTCAGTGTGTTGTTCTTTGTGTTACTGTGTAGTCATAAAATTATTTATTCCATTATATATTTTGCTTATTTGCTATTACACACTGAAAAAACTATGAACTCATTTGAGATGCTTAAAATTTTCATTAAAATTAATGGGCCATGTTTAGTAGAGGCTTTATAAAATGATTTAACTTTCCGCTTACCTTTGCTATTTTACCAAGAGGTTACCTTCTTAAACAGAACAATCATGTCTGGAGGTTAAATAAGTGTAAAAAAAATCAGACAAACCCCATGTATTATATGTTATTTTAGTCATAGTGTTCAAGTACAATTATGTTTAAGTAACACAGATTAAGCAAGGATTTAATTGTTTCTACAACATGTAAAGCTGATAGAAAATATGAGGAATTTCTTATTTGAAACTTGTATTTTACTGGGATTTTTCAGAGTTGTTGTAGAGCTGCAGCTGCTATATGAGGGACTGCAAAATGAAAAGTGCTCCTTTTACTTACCATCAGTTGCATATTTTTTTAACTTCTCAAGATGTACTTTATTCATTAATATATTTTTAATTTGTTCACACAGTAGGGTTTCTTTTTAAGGACTTCATTATTCATTTTTTTGTAGAAGCTTGTTTTAAACATAGAATAACTTCTTTTTTGTTGAAACACAAAGTTGATATTTTTCTTCTACTTTATAGTCTCAGGATAAAACTACTGGGGGAGTTAACCCAGAACCGTGTCCAATCTGTGCTCGTCAACTGGGAAGACAGGTAAGATACTTTGTCAGCAGGTTTTAACTTTAGAACATCTTTACCTACAGCTGAATCAGCAAATTTTTAGCATCTGATTTAAAATTAACATTATATTGAAACAGGGGAAATAAGCCCTTTCCTGTAATGTACCAACCAGACTCTCCCGCTGACATAATGTCTTGCTCAGATGCAAGCACCACTACTGCCTTTAGCTTTTGACATCGGTGCTTAACTGTTCCAAAAATGTGAGTTCCTGATTGTTTTATAACCCTGAAGTTATACTTTTGTCAGAAACATTTGTTTGCCATTTAGAAACCAATAGATTGAAGAAATAGATAAGCTTTTTGTAGTATACTGTTCTATTTTACTGTAACTGCTCTTATTGACAGTATTTTTTATTTCTAAATAAATGGATATTACCTACTTAAACAGTAGTAAAACCCAATAGGTTAAAGACTGGCAATCTGTATTTCTTTCCCCACCACTTACATGCTGAACTGTGAGAGTTGAAATTTAAGTGGGACTTAATCAACGTCATAAAATACAAAACTATAGTTTAAACTTGACTTACCATGCATTAGGTAAAAACATGAAAGGACTCCTGTACAGTCAAACTAAATTGTCTCTTTTTTTTAGGTAACTATTTTAAGGTGGTTTAGCTTCTGTCTACTTTATAGATATCTGTAAGCATGAACTGGTGTCCTACTGTGTTTCCAAAATCCCCTCTGTGCTTTTCTTCCAAGGGTAGTACAGGTTTTTACAGAGAACAGCTATTTGTCCTGTTCACTGCCATTATGCTTTATCTTGGAGCTGGATGAGCTCACTGAAAGGGAAAATAGTCTTTTCTTTTAACTTTCTTTATCTTTTCTTAATAGCGAGACTGCTGTAGATAGTAGCAACCTTCATCTTGCAAGGAACTTTTAAAATACTTTGTGTCCTGTTTCTGCATGATTAAAAGAACTTTACAAAGCTTAAAAGACCTTCTGCTTGATAATCAGTTGTTTAGTCAATTCCCTCTGCTACTTGGTCCAGCGAAATCTGTTTTCTTTTTCCTCTTAGAATGGCCTATCGAGCAGACTAGTACAGTGTAAGATACTATTTCTGGGTGCAAAACCACTGGTCTACAAATTGCTTCTCTGTTACAGAATGTCATAGCTGACATGTAGATGTTCTAGGCTCACAAAGGAGAACAGCTTCTGCAATGCAATCTGTTGTTTAAAATGCATTCTGTCTAAAAGAGATTAAGCCACTCTGTTCAAAAGATGTTGTCTAGGATTTAACAGTAGGGAAAAATTAAAGCACTTTATTTACAACTTACTTAATAAAGACCAGCCTAATATGAATGCATAGGTAAAGACTTTTACAGGAGGCCAATGCTAACATTTTTGTAATTTTTTAAAAATTGTATAAATATTTAATCTGCATGCTTAACCTGGGCATTAAGAATCATCATTCATAGAAATGAAAGACTGTAATGTCTTCACTGAAGTTCAAAACTGAGAAAATGCAAAAAATGAACAATAAATGCAGAAAATTTCTGTGGATCATGAATCTTTCTGTGCTGAAAAACTTGGAAATTTAGGCTTTTTAGCAGCTGGGATGCTAAAAATTCTAAAATTCTTCAATTTTAATCTGATGAATGTCATAAAAATAAAGCAATTTCTCTATGAAAATGTAATTTATCATATATTAGTACACTAGTTTTCTTTTGAATTGATCCAAAACTGATACTGTGTTGTGTTGGGTTTTTTTTATCATTTCCTACATAGTGGGCAGTGCTGACATGTGGACATTGCTTTTGTAACGAGTGTATAGCCATCATCATCCAACAGTACAGCGTTGGCACCCGCCGGAGCTCAATTAAGTGTGCCATCTGCAGGCAGACAACATCCCATAAGGAAATATCATATGTCTTTACTGCAGAAGCTGCAAATCAGGAGGATGATATTCCTGTAAAGGTGCGTTGTTTATAGGAGCTGTGTGGTCCAAACTTTCAGCAGTGCATATTTGTTTCCTTTTTTTGCATCCTGCACTTAGGCAGACAAGTGTACTGGATAGTTTTATACATAGGATGTGTAATGACAAAACTTCTAGACACAAATGTGTAGGAATTCAGTCCTGATTGCGCTGTTTTATCTACTTTTCTTGTTAACAGGGGGTTTTCGTTGTGTTAAAGGCAGGGGTGGAGGAAGAGGCAGCATCTCCATGAATCTTTAGCAATACTGACATAGTGCATAGGTACATTTTTGCTTTGCATGAGTATGTTATAGAATCGTGTTAAACAAAAAAACCCCTGTGGTTATTGCAGTTGTGGAAAAAATAGAAGATTGTGGACTAAAATTAAAGGTAAATGACATATTGGTAATATTTTGGTTTAAATGATACTGCTGTCTTTAATTAAAATATGATTATAATACAGCTGGATATACCAGTCTAATCTGATTAGAGTAGTTAAAAGTAATAACTAGTTGTGCTGACAGACTTCCGTGGTATCTGTGCAAGTTTCTTCAAATCTTGCAGGTTTTCTAGGGTCACTGGCCTGTATTGAAGACAGTTGCTACCACATTCACACTAGTAATTTCAGCCACTCGGAACAAATGGAATTCCATTTTATGAGTAGATGCTTCCTAACTAAAATGATTAGATTTGAAGTAGTTGACAGTATGTAGCACCAGGGGGAGTAAATAGGCTGTATTTTTGAAGTGCTGCTGCTTAGAACCTCACTTCATGCAAGGCTTTTTACATGTTATTTCCTCTGAGTTTAGAGATATCACTCTGTTTCTAACAAAATTCCAAATATGTTTCATAAATTACATTAAAAAATAAAATAACTGGAATAACAAAATTTCATAAATAGAACACAGAAGGAACCTGTCATCTGCTGTCCTGCATACAGGGTTGTAATGTTTTCTTGAAGTATTTCTGCATCAAAAACTTCGAAAAAAAGCAAAAATAAAGCAAAAATATGAATTCTTAGTGAATTCACATGATAAGGATCATTCTTAGTTCATGCAAAATTAGAAATTTATGCTGTAGCTTCATGTACTATCAAAACAAGTAGCTTTGTTAAAAATAAAAATTTCTACCTCATATTCCTTTAGGAACAGTTAACAAAGAATAACTTAGTATGGTTTCTATAGAATACCGAGGTTAAGATCAATAACTTTCAGTATTTATATGAAAAGTGTGTGATTTATTCAGTGTTTTTATTTTAATCTAAGCTTTCTTAATCCCTCCAGTCTCTTTCAGTATTCACTGTCTCTTTCTTTGCATCTTACTGTTTATTGTACCAATACTAACCATCTTAAGTTAATGCCTTAAATGTGAAAGGACTACTGTAAATGGGAGCATTTTATACTGAGAGATTACTGACATCTCTGCGTGTTTTGGTTCTGTGAAAGTTTCCTGTGTCTGGTCAGTATTACAGTGGATATTGCTAGCCTGTCATCTGAGACCCTTTGTTAGAGGGGAGTTTTGGTTCTAATGTGTGTTGTTCCATAACTCATAACTAATTTCTTTATAAATATTCATCTTGATATTCATCAAAAAGACACTGATTGTATAGGGGTAATGAGCGGGATAACTTTTTTTAAGAGAGACTGAAAACTAAGGGCTTATAACAGCAAGGGTACTTTTGTCAGTTTCATCTCTCCATGAAAATTGAGAACAAAATTGAAATTTTTGTGTGTTGTGAACCAAAGCTTTAGTCAACTGTTAGTTCAATAAGTCTAATATAGTTTGTCTAATATAATGTAAGCAAAGGAACAAAGAACTTTGCACACTTAGTTCTCCTGTTTAAAAACTAAAGCAAAAAGACTGTGACCACTTTGATCATTGTGCTGTTCTTTTCTTTGCCATGGTTCCTCTTACGGATCTGGTACAAAGTCACCTGAGCGACACCTGAGTCACAGGAATCTGAAGGGTGGAAAAATGAACAACAGTGGCTAAAGCTATCTGTTAAGCAGGGAAAAATAGGACCTGTGATAAGATCTAAAACCAGTCTCTGAGGAAAAGACAGAGCAGATTAGCCAGAACTGTCATCTGAATCAGAGATGAATGGTATCGGAAAAGCACATAAATGACCCTAGAATTATACAGGAAGTACCAAAAGTTAGTCTCTAACTCTCTCCTAACTATAGGTATTTATGATTGGCAGGCAGCTGCCATAGGGCTGCAAATGTGTCATCCTTTCAGATCATAACACCTCCCGACATTAATTGTCCATCTGACTTTGGAAACAGTGTTAATGTCTATCAGGTGCAACAGAAATTACATGGAAGAAAGCTGGCTTATTTTTATGTCTGTGACATAGACATTTCCATTATTTCTATGTCTGGAATCCCTATGGAAGACCCTGGGAAATAAAATGGTACTGCTTATTGCAGCCTATGGTACAACAGTCTGCAGAAAGTCTTTTACATGTATTTCTGGAGCATTCATTTGTCTGCCTAATGTGTGAATGATCAAGCAACCCAGCCTTGGTTCCCAGCTTGTGCCTAGACTGCTGACATCCTTCCCAGCCAATTCTGCAAGCAGCGTGACTTCAGTAAATTTGATCTGTCATTGTTGCAAGCCAACATAGTTAATTCAATGTTCAAAAGACAGGTGCAGACAGAAATAAAACAGTATTTGTCCAGCTGAATCTAGAACAGCTTGAAATTACTATGCATGTAGGAACTAGCAAGAAATTATAGGCTAAGGGGAAGAGTACATAAATCAAAGTGGACAAGAAATAGAATATAATATTGGAATAATTAAGCACTGAAATACTTCTGAATGCAGAATATGAAGATGTTTTCATTGCAGCGCACAATTCTTCAAAAATTATTTATATTTAGACTTTTCTTATTATTTTAAGTATAATTAACAAGCTTCATAGTACTGAACGTAAGTTTGGTGTTGCCAGAATGAGAAACAAAAGCAACAGAAAAAACATTGGGGTAGATTTTTTTCATAGTCAGTTTTCAAGAAGTGTGAAGGTAGGGAAATTTAAATGTGCATTTGGAAGATTCTCTAAAGACTGTGCCACTAAGTTAAGACGCAGGAGGCCTAATGAGCATGTTTGGTGCAACTTCTGTTCTGCCTCACATAGCTTCACTGTTCAGTGTGCTGCACATGCTGTAATACACTGCTGATCCTATAGCAGTGCATTATAAGGGAGAGATAAAAAGAGTTCAGTGCTACTTAACCTGCCCTTCCTCCTTTAAAGTTTTTAAATTTGAGTAGGATATGTAAGACACCTAATATAACATCATTTAATAAAGCCATGAATATGGAAGTTGTTTACTATCCTACTTTTCTAACGCTCTTCTTTCACTTTTCAAAGGGAAGTCACTCCACCAAAGTGGAAGCTGTGGTCCGAACACTGAAGAGAATTCAATTTAAAGATCCAGGGGCTAAATCCTTAGTTTTCTCAACGGTATTAATCATCATTTTCTGTCTTGTCTTTGTGTGTGTGAGTTTAAAGTATTCATAATATTTACAGGAATTAGTTTAGCTACTAAAACATTGAATCACTCTCTACAGCCACTTGATTGTTTTGAGAATTTGTGGGGCAAGTCATGTAACTGGGACATGAGCAACGATCATAGTCAGCAGATGTAAAAACTTGTTTCTTTAAAGAGCAAACACTCAGTTTCGTATGGAAGTGTTAGAAATTCTAGATATTTTTAAATGTAATGTGCAGATATTTTTGATACATTGTAAAACTGTTTTTATGATGGCTGCCAATTTCTTTTATTCAAGCTGATCTTTTTAATTACGTCTTACTTAGTTTTATGAAAGATTTGGTTCCTAGCACCAAAATATTTATTTCTTTTTTTTTTAATTGCAAATGCTAGTATTTTGAAAAGGTTTTTAATCTATTCTCTCTTAGGGAAGTTAATTAGTATTTTTTAGTTGTCATTGCTGTTTGTAATGTTGAGTTACTTTTATTGTTGTGTGTTTTTGTTTCGTTGTTTTTTTTTACAGTGGCAAGATGTATTGGATATAATTTCAAAAGCTTTGTATGACAACAACATGATTTTTTCTCAGATCAATGGAATTAGTAAATTTCAGGTACATAAAGGATATTTTTATTATTTTCAGTGGGAAAATCATAGTTCATAGAAGTTAATTTGATCCTTTTACTTCATTGCTTCATTTGAGAAACTAAAAGAGCAGCAAATTTATTTGGCAAAAGCTTGGATCTCTAGCTCATTAATTCTAAAAATCATAATCACAAAAAGCCCCAGTTTAAAGCTTTTGAAGCTAAACTGTACATTGACTTTTGAGAAAGAAGCATTGGCCTGTCTGTTAAGGATGAGACACACTGATCAGTGTTGCGAGAAATTCATGCCTTCCTGATATCTGTTGAGTATCTGTTCTGGGATGAACATTATTTCTCTGGAGCCTGTATTAGCTGCTATAATTTCTAGAAAATATAGTCATATCCTCCACACTCTTCATTGAGGAACTTTTGTCCCACTGCTGTGATGTTTGCCTTTTAGGAAAATCTTTCTGCATTTAAATATGATCCCAACATCAATATTTTGCTGCTGCCTCTTCACACTGGTTCCAATGGACTAAACATCATCGAAGCAACTCACGTTCTGCTTGTGGAACCCATTCTGAATCCAGCACATGAACTACAGGCTATTGGCAGAGTACATCGTATTGGCCAAACAAAGTAAGATTTAAAATTATGTTGAATGGTTTAGATATGGTCCAGAATAGATCTGCATACTGTAATCAGAATAAATCTAGTTCACCGAACTTCTCAATTTTGGAGATGGGGTTATTCATAGGAACCCTTGTTTTAAAGATAATCATAAAAGGGACAGAAAGATTAAATTAAAACATGTTTGCTGAAAATTCACTGTGTATTTTAGGGAGTTTTGTGCTGCAGGGGTAAGATGCAGAAACAAATTGCATTTGGACCATTTAGGAAGAGTGTAAGCTCTTGAGTCTGAAATTCTGAAAAACCTTGTTCAGCTGGTGCCCTGTTTTATGTGTGCCATTGATGCCTTAGTTTTTAACTTTGAAGTTCTGCTTGCAAACATGTCCAGAAATATCTCAGCTTTGCATCTCCAGGCAACTCATCCTTTATGTTATGAGGATAAGTTCAGGCATGGCCTGAGTTTCCTTGAGAGGGTCCTTCTAACTGGTCATTCTCAGCTCCAGATTAGGAGCCAAGTAAATTGTTGGGGGTTTTCTGTTTGCTTGTTTTGGGGGGATGTTTGGTTGGTTTTTTTTCCAAAAAGAACTTTATAGCACACTCACTTTACAACTGATTAGTTTTTTGAGTCACAGTTCTGCCCTCATCCCCATCTAGATCTCTTTGAAGATGTTAATGAGTTTGCATATCTCTTGTTTGTTTCAATGTTGTTGATTTTACACGTGTAGTAGTGAAGACTTAACAAAGGTTTTGGAACGTTTGTCCTGAACATATAAGATGTGTATGTTTTTCATTAGGTCTCATGTCACTTGAAAAAAAAATTAAAACCTGGAACATCAAGGAGAAAAATAGCTGGAGTTAATTCTGGAATAATAATATTCTAGAATAATAGTGGGGTTTGTGTTCTGGAAATAAAGGCAAAGAGAGGACACGAAGAAACATGTATGTGAAAGAATGTTTATGAACAGGTGGATATTTGTGTGTGTTGGTAAAGATTTTGAATTAACTGTGAGGGCATAGGGAAGATTGATTGCAACAGCCTGGATTGTAATTTTACATGATGCTGGCACAAAAGGTCTGGCAAAAGCTTTGCAATAAAAGCAGCAAGAAGGTACTGTACCTTTTAAGAATTAAGACTTCAGGAAGGCTTATTTGAAAAAGGGCTGTGTTCTAAGTACAGTGAGCATAAGGGAATACTCCTGTATGCAACTATTACCACTTCAGTTGAGTTCTTATTTACTTCTCTTTTTTTGGGGTAGACCTTTGCCTATGAATCCCAAAGTATTCCCCCTGCATTCTTCTGTGAAATGTTACCTGCCAAAGTTTCAACTGAAGATATGAAAACTGTCTAAGCACTTTCAAGGGCTCTTGTCTCAAAAAATGTTTATGCTGGGGAGCCTGGGATGATTTTTCAGTTTTATCTTTGGAGCTGAGTCTTTTCCATTTCACTTTCTTGTGCCTGGCAGGTTTTTCTTATTACTGCTTTCTTTCTGAAGTTTTATTTCATAAATGGAGTTGTCATTTTGTGTTATGTTTATTGACATTTTTGGTTTTGTTTTACCAGTGTTTACAGTTCCGTGTTTACTGACTACAATTACTGACTTTTTTAAAAAAAATTATAATATTTTACTGTCTTCAAAAATAATATTGTTAAAACTCTGGAAATCAACTTTAATAATCCATCACACTGAGCTCTTGTCTCTTGGAACAACTTGTGGCAATGCAGGATGAACATTGTATATCACCAGTGGGCCAAAGTAATTTCTTTAGGCTCTTGAGGAGGGTTTATTTGTAGTAAGGACACAGAAAGCAGAACTTTGCCCAGCATCTGCATTAGGATTTTAGGTAATACAGCTTATATTCATTTAGTATGTGGTCAGCCAAGTGAGTGTGTGCTCAGGGAGGCACTAAACACCCTGAAATGTCAGTGGAAGTTGTTAATCACCTTTAAGATTTCTTTCTTAAAATAGAGGCATTTTTTCAACATTCTTACAAGAATTAGTGTGAGACAAAATATGGTTATGAACTTCATCAATAACAGTATAACTTCTGCTCACTTATGGTCCTGTTTTCTTTTTTTAAACACATTCAGATCTACCATTGTTCACAGGTTCCTGATAAAAGCAACAATAGAAGAGAGAATGCAGACTATGTTGAAAACTGTAGATAGAAGGTATGTGTTGAATTTTTTAAAACATCATTATTACACTGAAAATGAAAAGGTGATTCTCAACCATACTTTTATTATAGTTAGGCATGCATACCTTTGTATATAAAACTCAGCTGTTCTCCTTCAAATTGCTGTGATTGGCAAAAAAGTTTTAAGACTTGAAAAATTTTAACCTGGTTCCAGTAACTTGAACCTTGAGGTATTTTAATTCTCTGGAAAGTGTTTTGGTAACGTTTTATCTTATAAAAGCCCAATTAATAAATTATGTGTTATGATTCGTCTTTTCACTGTACGTATTTCCGTGAGTATAAAAACACTGCAACTGATGGAGTAATACTAAGCCTGCCACTGGAGCAACGGCACGTGTGGTGAGCTCTAATACAGGCCATGGATTCTTCCTTTCATTACCTTTAAGTTCTACCAAGTTAGTCCAACGGTGCTCTGTCACACTGGTTGGTTTTGCAGTCTGTGCAGGCACTGCCCAGATGCTAGCTTATAGATCAGGCTGCTGTGTAGACACAGAAGTAGTTTTCACTGTGTTTATCCTTACAAAATCTATAAGCAATGACGGACTGGGCCTGGACTAAAAAGGGTGTTCTTTATGCAGAAAGTGTAAGAGGTTTGTACCTTTTATATATTTTATACGCATGATAAATCTAGGAGGAGGCCTTAGTTTAGGGAAGTTTTGCTGGTTAGAGATTATGAAACTAAAAATGGATGTGCACATCTTTGGTTGTACTTATGAAAGATTTCAGTTTTAGCTTTGGAAGAATGATTTATTCGGTTTCCATATCTGTGAAGTAGCACTATTTTACATATAAAATTTGGATAAATGTACAGTGGTTGAATGATCCCATGAGAACTAATGTTTTGAAAGTAGTATTAAACGTTATGTATGGAAACTGAAGACAGTCCCTTAAATGTTAAAAGGGCACAGCAGATTATCCCATGTTCTGCTTTTGCTGGGTTTGCAGTGTTTGGTGTTGACTACTGTTAAGGACCGTAGATGGACTTTGTATCTTACTTAGAATGTACAAGAGCAGTAGCTGATCAGTGTACGTGGTTTTCCTGATGAGTTTCAAAGCTGAGCAGTTATTGACTCTGAGCTGTGTGGTCTGTCTCCAGTGCACACAGCTTGTTACTGACATTGATTCTTTCTCTGATGCCTGCATGCAATTTTTTTCCCACAGTCACACCAGCTCTTCCATGAAACAGTCAGAAGCCTCAGTGTTGACAGTGGCAGATTTGGCTGACCTTTTTACAGAGGAAACTGAAGAACTTGAGTAAAAACATTGGTTTGTCCTAATGAAATCAGAAAGTACCTGACCTAATAAGCACCAGGATATAATCCACTTGATCTATCGTTCCTGTAAACATCATTTAACATTTGTTACAGAGTGATTGGAAATTGAAAAGTCTTAATTGTTACTGTTTTATTCTTTGGTGAAGCTCATAGCAGCACACACTTCTGATGGCACTGGAGAAAAGTTGCACTTTGCACATTATACAAAAACATGGATTTTATTCCCAAAGAGCATTTGAGCTGGATGCTAAAACTGAGATCTTGGACCCTTGGTTGAGAGGATTTTTACCATCAGGTTTGATTGGCTAGTAGCTCTGTCTGAGAGCAAAACTATGTGGGTGGTTGGGTGGGAAAGGAAAGCAGAAAAATACAAATATAATTTTTTTTACTGTACAAAGAGTTCTTAGAAAGAATGACTGTAAATTAATATTCTTCTAGAAAGGGCTTGTTAGATTTAATGCAGAGTTACTAAATGTCTTATTGTTAAAACTTCAAATGACTAATCTTTAATAATAATTTGGATATTTGTATTAGGCTTTTAGATATTCATAAAGACTTGTGACCGTTAAATATTTCATTGTTAATGCTTACTTATTGCAAAAAGATGATAATTAAATTATGCTTTTTGTATATATGTTGGTCTGGTGATCAGTTAAAGACTTGAACTTGCTGTACATGTTTTCACTTGAAGCCGTGACTAATTCAGTGCTCTGTTTAAAAAAAAGGCATTTGTTACAGAATTTTCAAAAAATTAATTGGTTAAGCTGCTGATCACTTTGGAATCATATGGTGTGCTTGTGTGCATTTTCTCACTATGATATTTTTGTCTAGTTCTCCCCCTTAAAGATACAGCAATTTAAACATACAAAATAGATGAAATTAAGGTAGGCAGTCTAATTCTTAGGTGCCTGGTCTAAGTTAGATAAACAGTGGAGAGACATGGAACTTTGTGAAGCTTCGTCCTGATATGCGAGATCACTCTACACTATCTCTGTTAACAGTAGATAGTTTGGAAAACAAATCCAGGCTAACTTTTAGACTGCTAAAAGTAGGCAAGATAAATTTTAAGCCTTTTGACATAGGTTATGAATTCACACTTATATAACATTTGTTTCTGAAGGTGTTACAGAAGCAAGCTCAGTTACACAGTTGATGTTAAACACAAGTTTGTGTTTAGAGAGTGAGCATAAGCAACAGGCTATGTCTCTCACATTACAATATTTACTGTTTCAGTAGGCAATGTATTTTGTATATTTTAAAAATCTTACTTAAGATGGAAATTAAAATTAGTCCTGTAAGAAATCTCATTGTAGAATTTTTAATCATGTCAGCTGATTCGTCATAGATTTCTATAGTTATTGAGCTTCTTGAGTTTTGTTTTCAGCCATACAGCATTTGAGCTGCACAGTCAGGTATTAAGCCTATCCACGACAGGCAAGTTTTCTGCTTCTGACAACAGAGGTGAATAGAATTTGCAAGAATAATACTGTAGCAAGAAGTGGGTTTTCTGGCATTTATATTCTGTTGGCCTTCTGGACCAATTGGATACTTTTTTCTAAAGACTATTTGAGTAACTTTACAGACAATGTATCTGTTTCCCATATTTGTAATATGTGCTAGTGGGCTTAGCCCAGAAAGCCAACCGCATCCTGGGCTGCATCAAAAGAAGCGTGTCCAGCAGGTCGAGGGAGGCGATTCTGCCCCTCTACTCTGCTTCGATGAGACCCCTCCTGGAGTTCTGCATCCGGTTCTGGGACCCCCAGCAGACAAAGGACATGGGCCTGTTGGAGCCAGTCCAGAGGAGGGCCACTAAGTTGATTACATGGCTTGAGCACCTCTCCTATGAAGGCAGGCTGAAAGAGTTTGGATTGTTCAGCCTGGAGAAGAGAGGTTCTTGGGTAACCCTAGAGCAGCCTTCCAGTACTCAAAGGGGGCCTGCAAAAGAGCTGGAGACAGACTTTTGACAGGGGCATGTAGTGATAGAACAAGGGGGAATGGCTGAAGGAGGACGGGTTTATACTGAATATTAGGAAAAAATTCTTTACTTTGAGGGTGGTCAGGCACTGGAACAGTTTGCTGAAGGAGGTCAAGGACTCCCCATCTTTGGAAGTGTTCAAGGCCAGATTAGATGGGACTTTGGTCTAGTGGAAAGTGTCTCTGCCCATGGCAGTGGGGTTGGAACTACATGATCTTTAAGGTCCCTTCCAAGCCAAACCACACTACAATTCTGTATGTACATTTTGTTTTGTAGGTTGTTGATTTTTTTTTTGCAGATTACAGTTCGCAGCAAGGCAAATAGAATAGATAGTAGACTTTCTTTAGATGAGATTGATTAAACAGTGTACACAGAAACTGGGACATCTACATCCTTGAACATACGGGGAACTCAAATAACCCTGAGTAACCTGATCCACCTTCGAAGTTGGTCCTGCTATGAGTGGTGTGTTGGACCAGATGACCTCCAGGGATCCCTTCCAGCCTAAATTATTTTACAGTGTACTGGAGATCTTGCTGTACAGACATTCCAGGAACTCTGAGAGCAGCAATATTCCAGTTTCCTCATCGTCTTCAGATAATTTTGATATTGTATGACAATGTGATTGCACAAGAAGCTGCTGTTCACTCTGAGAAATTATATATCTGTGTTAAAAGCTGTGGAAGCACATAGTGTTTACATTCATAGCTCCCACTTTAATTAACTACATGTGAGAAGAATAGTTGTCAGTGAACGTGAAGAAAGAGAGGCAAACTGAAAAATATCTGCTTCCCAAGCTCTTCAAGTTTTTGACTTATTTATATAAAGACAATGGTTATATATATAAAGATGTGTGAGTCTTAAGTGCTGGCTTATCTTTTTCTATACTCATATAACAGCGTGGAATGCCAGAGATCTGGTTGTAGGTGCTCTCCTGACTGCCCTGGAGCACCAGGACCTAGAGCTCTGGAAGTATTACATTAAAGTGTGTACAAAGTCATGTCAAAGCACCTATTGAAACTGGAATGTTGAACTGTTGGAGCATATAGCCAGTATCAGCAGTAAAACAGATTCTTCAAGTTTCACATAATGCTAAATAAAGAGACTAAATGCTTTTTGCCATTCTTTCCAACATTCAGTTTCTTTGACAAAGGTTTTTCTTTCAGACTTCTTACAAGACTTGTCATGAGATGAATTCTTTTTTTTTCCTTTCCTGCTAAGGGTGCAGCTTGTACATCTGCAGTGCTTTTCTCTTATCAAAGCACAGTAAGCTTGATTTCACAGTGCTGTCATGGGTTTTTTTCTCTATCAGAACACTCTTTAAAAAGACAGTATCTTAGCTGAGAACAGTTTGCCCTGTTGTAATGCTTCCAACATACTCACAGAAGACAGAAATCTATAAATACTGACTGCAGTGTTTAAAATAACATTTGTGTGGACATACCCAAGAGTCACGTACCAGATTCTCATGTGTTCTCCTGCTAAAACATGTAAACATGATCTGAGGTGCCAGTATTTATCTAGTGAAGTCAGTCCTTTAAAAATGAGGCTTCAGCTGATTACGAAGACCTCGGTGTTGACCTTTCATCTCTTTCAGTTCTATGACAAAAAATGTTGAAAGTTTTCTTGACTGTAGTTGATGAGGGTTTTAGGACAGGTTTTCTCCCTGTTTAGTTCAGTGCTTTGTAAAACAGAGCTGTCTGCAAATAGTAAACTTCCTTGAACAATGCAATATCATCGTGTTGGAAACTAAGGTGTTAAACTTGCGGTGTAAATTGAGTTCTGTGAATTTCAGTGTGGATCTTTAAATAAATTTGTAAGTTAAGATCCTCCTTGTTCTCTAAATCAGGCTATGCCAGGAAAAGGTTTTCATCTTGACCTGTTAGGTAACTTTTCAGCATACTAATCAAAGTCCAGCACACTACCGTTTTCATGTAGGTCAGATACTACAAAAGAATATTACCTCAGTCTTCTCTTGCATATTCCAAGTTGTATACTAAGGAGTGGACATAAGAGTTGATGCTTTTTATGAGATAGGCCTTCCAAACCACATGTCTGCCAATATCTGTAGATGTATTAGAGTTGTCTGTGAGTGGGGTCCTACGTAGATAAAAAGTCCATAGTTGTTTCCAGTTAAAACCATAATTAGACATACATCCTCTTGTAAGATTCTGTCTGGATTAGTAGCTGAATACAAGTTAACAGCTCTTTGCCACTATCTTTTGCAGTCCTTATGACTGCGTTAACTTTTTTAGGAGTCAGAATTATTTGTTTGGTTAGAACTGTGTTTCAGTTAAATTGGAGAGAAAAAGGTCAGTATTGGTCAATCTTGTGACCAACGTAAGAAAAAATTAACCTTGAAATTTATAGCTCTCTCAAGGTAAGCAATTAGATGAGTTTCTAAAGGAAAACCTTTAGAAAACTTGGGGTTTTTTCTAGATGTAAATAAAGCCTGTTTCTGAAGCTTAATCTAAAGACTTAGTGCTTGAAATCTGTATTTTAAGCTTTTCTATACACTGAAAGGCTACTTACAAAGCCACTGTGCCTGTGATTTTTCTTCCTTTTTTGATTGCTTGAAACAAGTGAGGTCTTTACAAGATTATATGCTATAAATGTAGATTAAAGGAATTTCAGAACGGAGAAAAAATAAGGTTCAAGACATCTCTACCTCTCCCTCTCTGTGTGTTTCCATTTTTCTGTGTCAGTCATCTTGTCACACCCTCCACCCACCCCCATCTCTCTCAGTTTGTTACAAAGAATATTTGTGTTAGTCAGTGGCAGTAGAGTGAAATAGCTAGAGTAAAAACTAGTTTACTGTATCACAGGAAAAGTGTCTGAGGTAAAGGGAATTTTAGCCTAGTATAAATTCTTTTTTATATCTGTAATATTTTCATTTACCACTTTTATTCACCACTGTAGAAGCAGATGTTGAATTTTAGTCTATTAACTTTTATATTTCTAGTTTTATATTATACATCTGACATATAAAAAGGATGCAGTAATCTAATTACTGAGTAATCAGTGAGGCTTACAAGTTTTTACTAGCCAAGTCTATAGGTTTGGGATTCATAAAGTGCACCTGAACCATTGTCACAAATCATGGTGCATCCACTGTCTTCTCCTCTTTAGAGGAGGAGGAGGGAAGAGGTAACTACTGATTCAGTGTCCCAAGTCCCAAGTAGTCACTCCACATATTCTACAGCCATACACTGTGTAAAGAGGACAGTTGAACTCATAGCTTTCAAGTGTCAGTAAGGAATTAAGTCATATGGGGCAGAAGTAAATGATGTAGGGTTTCCAAGTACTAGAATAACTCTCCTTAGACAATTGAATTGTGAGATATCTGTAAACCTCTGGCTTGGCTCCATGCTCTGGCTCGGTTTCCTTCTTTGTATGAGATGTCAGCCTTCCAGGGCTTAACTTCCAAGTTCCTTTGTTTCTTGTATTTATAGAGCTGACACAAGTGAGTGCCCAGCCCAATTAATTCAACTGGACACATATCAAATTTTATCAGTTTAGGAACAGGTGTCAGTTTTCCGTGATGTAACATGTCTTGGTTTGATGGCAGCCTTCACATCAGCTAGAAATTACCTTTTCAAATTCTACCAAGTGAAAGGTCTGACTGCTTACAGGGTGTCTCAAAATGTACATTGTTGGTGTGGGCTGGCCTAGGTAGTTGTGGAGATTTTTATGCCACTTTTCCTTCCATCCTACCTATGGGGGTTAGTGAGCTAGTAAAATTCATTCTGTATTGCTGTGAATTGTCCCCTCCTTATGCTAACAGGTTCTCATCATTGGTCAGACTTACTCTTGACTATGTCATTTGGTTAAGGAAGAAAATCTAGACTGCCTTCCTTGTTTATCATGATGGAGTTAGTCTTGGAGTCTCCTGAAACAGAGGACCACAAATGTGGGGACAGTGACATTCCTTTTATGGATGCTGAAACTTTAGGAGACGAGCTGTATTGGCTGAATGTTCACAAGTCCATGTGGCCTGATGGGATTCATCCCAGCATTCTGAAGGAGTTGGCGTATGGTTTGGAAGAACTCCTCTTGATCATCTACCAAACATCTGGGAGGGTTCCTGCTGACTGGAAGCTAGCTAATGTTGTTCCAGTTTACAAGATGGACATAAAGGAAGACCCAGGGAACTACAGACTTGTTAGTCTAACCTCAGTTCCTGGAAAAATTATACAGATTATACCAGGTACAATTGGAAGGCACACACATATGTTGTTTCTCTTTCAATCTTCTATAAAATCTTAGTAAAGCAATGTAGGAGTTGTGGAAATGATTACACTTTGCTAACTGCTTGTGCCATGGTTAGGTCTTAAAAGCAGCTGATTCTATCCTATAATTTCTGTAACAGATGTACAAAGCCCAGAGCATTTCACCAGCAGCCAGAAAAGAGATGGAGGGAATATCTCCAAGTCCCAGTGATCCATTCATATCTGCTGTTCTTGCACATGCTGCAGTGGAGGTAGAATCTGCACTAGATGGAGCTGGAGGAGAGGGGAGGAGTTTGGAGAGAAAAAATGAGGAACATTTGTAAAATGTTCCTCTGAGTGCCCTTCTGATGATTTTTCTGTGGGTGGAATGAGTCACTGATATGAGCAATGAATAAACAAAGGGTGAAAGATTGTAAGTGTAGCCTATTCATTGGAGCTTAATGTTCATCTAAATGCAGTGGCACATTTTTGTGTTCCTAATTTGACATATTAGTCACTTTCTTACTGACTGTTGCAATGTGAGCATACAGGGCTTTGCAGTGGTTGAACAAATGTGAATATTGAAAAATTTTGTCCCCTGTGATACATGTTTTAATGTGCACCTAAGTCATACAACCAAATGTATGCTGTGGATTTGTGAAGGATGACAGTTCAAACTTACACATTACAGATTGACCTCCCTGAACCAAACAGGCAAGTTTTACTTAATAAAGGAAAGGTAATTAATCACTTCTGCTGTAAATGAACAAGTGTCTCTGAAGAGGCAAGGCAGTGGACTTTGTAATTGCCTCTTGGGAAATGTTGCACCTCTTGAACATTCATGTCTGCAGTGGGGATGAAAGGCAGAAAGCCCAGCCCAGTTCCATTGTGCAGGGGAATGGAGTGCTGAGAAGTCTGGCCAGAAGCTTGAGCCTGCTATGTTAAATGAGGGACGTGTCATAGATATTTCTGGGGAACCTCTTCTTTTGTGTACCTCAATCTTCTAGCATCTCATAAGCATAGATTTTCTGTAAAGTTTCCACAATTCTTAACAGACACTTTCTTCATCAGCAAGCTATCACTGTTCAGTGGAGTTTTTCTCTTTTCCTTGTGGACCATGTATTTCTTTTTTGTTACTTGTTCTTCAGAAAGTTGGGTGCCCCTGAATCATTAACAGCTCTTGTTAAAAGCCTCTAAAATAGAATTGAAGGACATGAAACACCAAAGGGATAGACAAAGTGAATGAAGTGAGGGAGGTTCTACTTCTGCCTAGTAAAGGACACACTGCTGCTGCTGTGGCAGTGGAGACAGATGTGAGTTGGGGAATGGTAGAGGAGGTATCCAGTCCTATCCTGGGGGAATCAATTCTAAAATAGATAGAAAAGGTTTTCTGAGTAACATTGGTCTCCACACTTCAGGAATTCTATTGTTGGGCCCAGGACACTATTTGATCATTTGTTGAGGCACTTGATTCTGTGGAGAGGTTTTAAAGCCCAAAACCACAATCCTGGACTTAAGTCTATAAATTACACACTTTCTGATAGAAAATGTTTTCTTTGATATAAATGAATATTAACAAATACTGTGTCAGGCATTTGCAAGAAATTTGATGGCCTGTAATTTAATTCTAGATTTCAGTGTGGAAACAGAGTAATTTAATTATTTTAGTAATAGAAAGTAAAACTAATCAGTTTTTGCAACAGCAAGTTAATGACTTTTAGAAAGCAATGCACAGGAGAGAAAAGAGCAGTTTTCAATTGTGTTCCAAAACTGAAATTCCAGATAAGCTAGGAAACAAGTATTTTTATTAGCTGCTGTTTCTTTGCATTATACAGATAATGTAATTTCAATGAAATAATTTATTTAGAAAGCAGCAAAACTAAATATTTATTTGAAAATTATTAAGTATGAATAAACATACAACTTAATGTTCCCATGGTCTCTGAGTAACAACATTCCTATCAATAGCCTTTCTTTTGTACTCACGGTTTACTTTCAGAATTACATCATAGTATCTCTTGAGGTTTGCAGCTGTTTCAAAGCCTTTGTGAACACAAATTTTTGTCTTACATTTTCCTGCTACTGAAAAACACTGACTGATGTAACATTCATTAAATAACGTTTTCTTTCCATCTTTCTGGTTTTAGAAAAATAGCTGGTGCCTCTTCTGAGAGACAGTGCTTAATCATTTGCGTTCCTATTCCTCAGTATGTAACTGAATTGTCTGATAGATGTTACCTGTTAAGTAGTATCCTTTAATAGGAATGCTCTGCATGTGTAAATAATTGTTATTCAAAACGAAAATTACAGTACATGTAGAAGCCCAGGGGTCAATCCATAATTATTCTTTCCAGTGTGGTTGGTTGCACCCAGCTCCAAAACTGCTGATTTCTGGAAACAGCTCACACTTCCCTATGGCAGTTCTTCACTACATTCTCCTGCTCCATGGAGACTGGGCCTGTGACATCTCCTCGATAAAGTTATCTGTTGGATCAGTTGTATCATATTTTCTTTCCTAGAATTGTAAATCAGGCCTGGTCAATCCCAATATACACAAACTATTTTTAAGAGTGTGGTATAATTAGGAGACCTCCTTTGCCCACTGGTTTATTACAGTTCATGTGTTAGTGTTTATAATTCCTTTTAACATTTTCAAAATTTAATAAAATATAAAAAAATGTGCACTTGGTTATACCTAGATAGGCCCTAAAGAATAAAGAAAATAGCTGATACATTTCATAAAACCAAACTTCTTGGTAAAGCATGAGAAATTATATTGAAAAGAAGGCATCTTAACTGAGCTTTAAGTCAGCACTCCAGCAGAGCCTTGTTTTTCTGGGCACTTGACAAATACTTTGGTTATAATACAAAGTCCAAATCCAAACCGGGAGATTTTCCATTGAGTTAAATGGTCTGTGGAGAATTATACAGGGAGAGAGAACCTGCAACCAAAGTGCACAGAAGCTGCAAAGGATGTGAGGGTGGCGAAGGGGACTTGCCCAAAGCAAAGTGGAGATGGAGCCCCAGCCTCCCGAGTGCCAAGGCGGGGACCAGGCTCGCCCACCTGAGCCCACAAGCAGCCAGCACTGGCAACAGCGCTTGTCTTGGGATGCTGCCTCGCACAGAGCTGCTGGCACGGCAAGAGCTGGAGCCATTCAGCACAAGCTGTCGCGCACGGTGCCTGCTGGCACACAACGGGATCCTGTTCCTGCTCTTACTGTGGTATTTATTGTATATTGATGCAGCTCCACAAAGGCTCCTCTGACTTGCCTGGTTCCCTGTAATGCTCTCTGCTACCCAGTGTTGTGTGCAGGCAGAGCAAGATTGTCTTCCATGTCCCCCATGCTCAAATGACAGTTTTCAACAGCCATCCTGTGCTGAGCAGCCAGGCAGTCTTCCTCAAGAGATGTCAGTTCTGGAATAATGTGGAATAAAGTCTGACATTGGGGAAAACACCACAACTATTAACAGACCAGAGCATTTTATGGCCTGATATGCTGAAATATTTATGGTCTAAATAAGCAGGAGATGAAGTTTTCCTATCAGAAAGGCAGTACCCCAATTGAAAATGCTGCACACATTGATCAAGGCTTTTATAGATCTTTTATACTCTGGAACAAACAAGTAGCAAAGTGTTAAGTATGTAAGAGGAAGGCACTAAGGCTCTTTGGGGTCCAGTTATTAAAAGATAGTTACATACAAAGTCCACAGTGGGGTCTCATTGAATCAAAAGGAAAATAGCTGGTGCAAGCCACATGCAGGCTTTCATTAAGATGTGTTATGATGGCACTACCTTATGATATCACCTTGTACTAGCACTTGCACTAACAAAGCACACTTACAGCTTGCCAGACAGAAATATCTTTAGTTTTAAATACTGTAATATAATGTATGTGGTGAGAAATGAATGGTAGGATCTCAATGGAATCACCCTGAAAACATCCATTTCATATTGAGGTTTCTCTGTGAAGGAGTCAGGAGCCCCCTCTGGCTTTGACAGCCTTGCCAGCCAGGCTTTGGGTAGGTGAGGATGCACTGCCTATAAACACATGACTGAAGGCTGAGTCGGAACCTTGGCTCCTGACTCCCTCCTGGCTGATAGTGCAAAGTATGCTCCCTTGTGTCAGTACCCATGCAGTGAGCTTGAGGAACTGTGTGCATGCTGGTGATGACTAGGACCTGTAATCCTCATCCAGGGAGGTGGAAAACAGGAGTGTGTGAAGTAGAACTGCAGTAAGAGAAGTGGGAGTGCATAGGTAATGCCTGAAGGGAGCAACTTTTTCTTTCTAACACACGTGCACACACAAGTAAGAAATTATTGTTACACCTAGTTTTCCATTGCTTAGCTATCCGTGGTATCCTGAATGAGGAAGATGGTGTGTTAATAGAACAAAAGTTGTTAAGCATTCATATGGCAAAGGAAAAGGGAAAATTTGGACTTCTGACAGTTAAAAGCTAAACAGAAGTCACAGCCGAAGGGAAAGGTCAAAAGTTAAGGTGTGCTACTGGACATTTCCAATGAGATGTTTAAACAAGTTTTTCCTTTGGGTATGTTTCAGTATCTGGGGACATGTTTCGCTGTCAGTCAGTCCACTGTAAATCTGGAGCTTTATGGAGTTTTTTTTGTGCTCCTGCCAGTGCAACTAAGAGTAAACCTTGTCTCTGGTTACATCCATCTAGAGCAAGCTACAGCTTGCCTTATCCACAGAAGAATTCCTGTTGACTTCATAAAGTTTTTCATGAGTTGGGACATCTGGATGTGGTACAGTAATACTTAACATTGTGATGTTGCTGTAAACACTAGGGTGTTTACAGAAATGAGAGACAAATCAGACCCCTGCTAACTATTTCACAGGAGCATAGGGTTTCTTCCAAGAAAAATATCTGAGCTCTCTAGGGCAGCATCTGCTCCCAGTATTCTGTTCTGCAGGAAAACCTACATTCAGGAAGATTAAAATTAGCCTCCCTGGATAAAACTGTCAGCTTGAGAATCTCCTCTATCTTACAATTGCTAATTGCACTAATTCTCATAACTGTTAGTGAAACTAGTGAGTGCTGAGCAGCTGTCTTTCATCCCTTGGGAGTTCCAGCCTCACTCTACCCTGGGCCAGGGCATGCATCCTTTGATAATTAAATGCTCGGACTCTGTTCAAAGAAACCAGTAAGTGAACTACTATGAAAATTGAGGATGAAGATGATGAATATTTAGAAAGGGAGAGCTGTATTTTAGATACACTTCCCTTGTACCCGAGCCTAAATTTTGGAGACTTTCTGAGTTAGATTTAACATGTGGTTGCATTTCAATTAAATACGAATCATCCATTCAAAGCAGAAACTGATTTGGCCTATTTTTCTACCTCCTGCAGCTCACAATCCACTCCAGCATGTAAAGTAAAAACGAACAGTCAGTGTGACAATTTGGATGACAATTAGTACATAAAAACCTTCATAAGCTGCTTCAGTTACAGTAAGAACTGGTCATAAACCAGCAGGGACTTTCTGTCTGCAGTATGGCAAGAGCATTTGCAGCGCTCTGTGCCAGAGGTTAGCTGGCAATGAGAGGGAACTGCTGCTGCGGAGGTGGAATTAACTGGCTACAGCTTACGTGGATTGATCAAGTTGATGCTAAGCTGGTGACGCAGTGGTAAACAGAGAGCTGGGGCTCTCCCTGCACAAACTCTGCAAACACAAGAAATAATCTTCCCTTTTGCAAAGTACCAGAGGTTATATAAATAATTGCAAAGGTCAGATAGAAAACACCAGGTTTTCCTCAGCCTGGCCAATATAATTAAAATGTTCCCTGATAGGATTGCCTTCTTGGGATCTTAGCACCAGCCTTGAACCAAAGATGTTGCTGGAGTTCTGTCCCTCATTTACCAGAGGGGGAAGTTCAGTACTACTTTCTGATGATGTTTTCAGCAACCCTACCAGCATGATTTCGCTTGGTCAGGAGCTGAGCCTCAGAGAATGAGTCACATTCAAGTAAACATCTTGTGTGGCTGGAGATCATCTCTTCCACATCACCGACTAGATTTGCTGTTACAGCAATGTGAAGCTGAATATCAGCTGTCTATCACTAATACAATATTCAATATTTCCTTTCTACTCTTCCTAGAGACTTCATACATATATTAAAAGAAGGGAAAGACACAGCAGGACCTTCCTGTATCAGATCCAAACCACCACAGTACCACAGCCAATAATAAACATTCCCCTATCCCATCCAAAGGTGTCAGTACGTTCCAGCTTTCTAGTGTCTATGCATGTACCCAAGTCAGACTTTGCAGTGGAAATGGCTGCTGTGTGACGCATGCTGCCTTCACCACCAAGAGGGTCATTACAAGCAAGAACATGAAAAACAAGCTACACAAATGCCCCATTAGAATTTCTTCCTTGCACCTATTGCTGAAATCTGAGAAGAAAGGTCCTGCATCTGACAGGAAAAATAAAGGATGTTCCTTTCCAATCCTGTCTGTTTTTTTTTTTCTGGGGACACTGTGTGCTAGGGACAGATGTGAGAGAAGAGGTGCTTCAACTGTTGCACACAAGACATTCTGGATCTCCACCAGCCAATTTCCAGTTCCCTAGAATCTATAGTTAGCACCAGTAATGAAAATGAAAATAAACACCTACATTTAACAGATGGATGGTCTCTTCTTTTTCCTTTAACCATTTTCTAGGTTGCTGCACTGGTTCCCTCATTTGAATTCCAGGGCCACATGACAGCTGAGCCATGCCTTGGTCAGCTGCTGATGTCAACCTTAACTCTGTGCTGTGGCCTGTGAGACCCCTTGGTAAAGCTCAGAGAGAGGAACCTGTGGTTTTACTAACACCGGAGCACAGTGTAGGCTTGGTTTCTTGCTCTGTGTAGGCTTGGTTTCTTGTTCAAGCTTCATTCAGAAGACTTTTTTTGCTCTTGTCAAGAAGAGATTGGCATTGAAAAGGTTTCCATTGCTACTACTTAATGTGATGTCATTTGTTAAGGAAGTTGTGGGTGGCTTGGGTAAGGAAAAAGAAGGCATCAGGCCCAAATAGTTGCTTAAATTATTTCTCAAAGGAAGTTTTTCAAGATCACTCTGTATTTCACAACTGAAAAATTAGCCTATGTAAAAGGGAAAAAAAAAAGAGTAACAGAATTGTCTAAATTATGGAAACTGTTTGCTATCATGTATAAAAGATTTATTGTATCTCTATTGCTACCGGCAGAAAAGGTGCTGGGCTGGTTCCTAATTTTAGTGATCATTAACCAGCCTGTGTGACAAGGTGTGGGGCAGTAGTTACTGGTTTTCTGACATATTGTTCCAGTGATCTCTGAGTCAGGGAACTGCTAAATTAGATTAGAGCATGATCAGATTTCATGAAGAAGGTCTGAGTCACCCACTCAACCAACCAGGGACAAGAGCTTCCCAACCAAGCTTTGTCCCCCAAGATGTCTGTATCCACAGCATTAATTTCCGAACGGAAAGAGCTACCAAGA